ACATGTGTGTGTGCCTTTGATGCAGTTTGTGTCCCAGTGCTATTGTTACATGTGAAACAGGAAAGTGGGCCAGAATTTTCAAGCCCTTGATGGGTCTATGGTGACATTCTGCGTATTGGGCCTAATTTGGTAGAGAAGAGGCCCAAAAGGCGGTGGAAGTTGAAAAGAAGTGGAAAAGTGGGAAAACAGGAAAGTGGAGAGTTATTTACGGGAAGTGGGAATCCGAAAGATCAGAGCCACTTCCTGATTTAAACCCCAGGATTTCTCGTTCACAAAGGCAAATCAAGAAGAGCATCGTCAATGGTGAAGAGAACTCGGAGAGGACTTATTGGCGCAAGATCTGAGGCGAAGATGGTGCATGCAGATGGCAATGAACAAAGGCCTCATCTGATTGATGATCCCAGTGAAGAGAATCCAAATCCTCCTGTTGCAGCTACTGACGAAAATCCTGCAGCGTCCGATGCTCCAGCTGATAGCTCAGGCACTTTCGCTACTGCGAATGAAGAAGATTCCCAGAGTTCCACTTCTGTGAATCCCGAAGCAAAACCCGGCGACGGAGAAGCCAAGGCTGATTCCGAGACTACCCAGAAAGTCGACGAAGATGAGGCGAAGGTTGAGGAGAATAAGAAATCAGGGGAGTCTCAACCTCTCGAGGTTCAAGAACCCATAATCAAGCCTACGGAGCCTGAATCTGTTGCTCAAGATCAAGCCGAAGAAGCGTCATCGGATTCTGGAGCCTCGCCGACTTCTGTCTCGGTGAAAGAACAGGCTGCGAAAGCTGCTCGCAAAGGAAGACGCTGAAGGTGTTGGGACTCCCAGCTTCATCGAAGAAACCCATAACTGAACCATCTCCAGCGTCGAAAGCAGCACCTGAACCAGTCCCTGAATCGGCTCCACAGAAGTGAACCAAGAAGGCTCGGTCTCGCAAAGAACAGCCATCTCCCAGTCAAGCAATGTATGAACACTTTGCTACTCGACATCTTTGGTGTGAGCGAAGTATTGATGTAGGTGAGACTGACCAATGGGGGTACATTAAGATGATCAAGGATGGTGGTCTAGAGCCGATGGTTGTTGGAATCGCTTTATATGTCCCATAAGTGGTTCAGGAATTCTATGCGGGACTTCCGGGTGATATACCTTCTGCACCAGATCAGGAGATTCGAGTCACTCTCAAGGGATTCGAATACAGGTTCTCCCTGACGTTGACCAACCAAGTGCTCAATCTTGAGCCATTGAATAAGGCAGAGGTACAACAAGAGGGAGTAGCTGATGCAGTTTCTCTGTATGATCTGGCCAAGCACTTGTCGAAGGGTAGAAGCAGTTGGAGTGGTTTGACCACGAGAGATCTGCCTCCTATGTTCGCTGCCTTGATCGTCATCTCCGTGTACAACTGAATTTCCTCCACCAACAAGAACCATATCTCTGAGAAATGTGCCAGACTGGTGTACAAACTGAGTCACGGTGTGCGGGTGGATTTCGGAAAGCTGGCCTTCAAGCAGATTTTTCTGATGAGCAAGATCATCAAAAAGGACACCCGTTACTTGGTGTTTCTTTGTTTGATTACTCAAGGGAGTTGATAACTCAGTGTGTGGTCCATGCACTCAAGGCAAGAAAGTTAAAGTGCAACACAAGAGGGTACCTGATGTACAGTCAAAAGCAGTTCTTGATCTAGTTCACATGGATCTGATGGGACCGGTGCAAACAGACAGTTTGGGTGGCAAGCGTTATGTGTTTGTCCTTGTGGATGATTTCTCGAGATTCACCGGGGTCAGGTTTCTTCGAGAAAAGTCAGAGATGGCTGCAAGCTTCATTATATGGGCGTTGTAACTCATGAATCAGCGTGGTAGTATAAAGAACATCCGGAGTTACCATGGTGGCGAGTTTCAGAATGAATTCATGAAACTTTTCTGTGAGAGTAATGGAATTGCTCACCAGTTCTCAGCACCCAGGACGCCACAATAGAACGGTGTTGTAGAACAGAAGAACAGAACACTGCAGGAGATGGCACGCGCAATGATGCATGGGAACCAAGTGCCAAATAAATTCTGGGCTGAAGCAGTCAATACTACTTGCTACATCATAAATCGAGTCTACATTAGAAAGGAAACTAGTAAGACACCTTATGAACTGTGGAAAGGAAAAATCCCTAACTTGAGTTACTTTCATGTCTTTGGTTGCAGGTGTTATATTCTTAATGACAAGGACTTTCTCGGGAAATTTGACTCAAGAAGCGATGAATGCATATTCCTGGGACACTATGGGAACAGCACTGCTTTCAGGGTGTTCAACCTCAGATCAAAAGTGTTAATCAAGTCAGTGAATGTGGTGTTTGATGACTACGCTCATACGAGATGGGAAGGAACTGCTGCAGTTGGTGACTCAGACGAAGGGGAGGAAGATCAAGTGGCAGCACCCACTGGGGAAGGTGATCAGATAGTTGAGGTACATTGTCTGATGTTCAGCAAGTCCACAGGAATCATTCACTCTCGGATCTTATTGGTGATGTGAATGAAGGAAGAAGGACCCGAGGGGTTCAGCTAGACTTCAAAAAAATGGTTGGGAAGTTCTCGGAGATGGTTCTGTTTACTTGCTTCATCTCTGTCATCAAACCCCGAGATGTGAGACAGGCACTGAGTGATGAATTTTGGATCATTGCCATGGAACAGGAGCTGGAGCAGTTCGTGTGGGAACTTGTCCCAAGACCTCTGGAAGGTAATGTAGTGGGAACCAAGTGGATCTTCAAGAAAAAGATTAATGAGAATGGAGTGGTGGTTCACAACAAAGAAAAGCTGGTCGCACAAGGGTTCTCACAAGTCGAGAGAGTCGATTTTGAAGAAACATTTGCACCTGTAGCACGACTTAAGTCAATTAGGTTATTTCTTGGGATGGCGTGTATCCTAAACTTCAGGGTATATCATATGGATGTCAAGAGTGCGTTTCTTAATGGAGTACTCCAAGAAGAAGTGTATGTGGAGCAGCCGAAAGGGTTTGAAGATGCTCAGCATCCACAGTATGTGTAGAAGCTGAAGAAAGCGCTTTATGGCTTGAAGCAAGCTCCACGTGCTTGGTATGAACGACTCACTGGGTTTCTGGTTGAACAAGGGTATGTTATAGGAAGTGTTGACAAGACCTTGTTCATCTATGAGCAGAATGGACAGATCATGATAGTTCAAATCTACGTGGACGACATCATCTTTGGTGGAACAGCTCAGTCACTTGTGGATAGATTTGTTACAAGCATGACTCAAGAGTTTGAGATGAGTATGGTTGGTGAGCTGCGTTACTTTCTGGGTCTGCAAATAACTCAATCCAAATATGGGGTGTTCATATCGCATAGCACATATGCGAAAAATTTGCTTACATGATTCAAGCTTGATCAGTGTAAGGAGGCTAATACCCCAATAAGTACTACAGCCAAGCTTACTCGAGATGAGGATGGGAAAGATGTTGATCCAACAGTGTATCGAAGGATGATTGGGAGCTTGCTGTATCTCACAGCAAGTAGACCAGATCTGTGCCTAAGTGTGGTCATATGTGCTCGGTATCAAGCAAAACCCAAGTAGTTGCATCTCGAAGCAGTGAACAGAATCATCAAGTATGTCAAAGGGACCATCGAGTTGGGGATCTGGTATTCCAAGGGGTCGAACAAAAACTTGGTGGGATACTGTGACGCAGACTGGGCAGGTTGTGCAGACGATCGGAAAAGCACAAGTGGAGGTTGTTTCTTCCTTGGTAACAATCTGATTTCATGGCTTAGTAAGAAGCATAATTCTGTCTCATTGTCTACCGCAGAAACAGAGTACATTTCTATGGGGAGCTGCTGTAGTCAACTCCTGTGGATGAAGCATATGTCAGCAGATTATGGGATGGATTCTGGACCACTACTGGTTCACTGTGACAACAAAAGTGCTATCAGTATTTCAAAGAATCCGGTGCAGCACTCTAGGACCAAGCATATCGATATAAGGCACCACTTCATCCGTGAGCTAGTGGAGGAGAAACAGGTAGTGATGAACATATTGTCACTGATTTGTAACTGGCTGATTTATTTACAAACCCCCTAGATTTTAAACGTTTTGTCACCTTAAGAAACTCGATTGGGGTTTACGGTATGTAATGGTTTGTGAAGTGTGAAGGACTGATACAGAAACTGACTCAGGGGGCCCTCAAGGTTTAGATTCAGTCTGGAGTCATCGTTCTGGTGGAAAAGAGCTGCCTCAGCTGCCGTCGTACCTTGACGTCAGTACAGGTTTCACGGAGTAGAATGAAAGTTGAGCTAGTTTCTGAGAAGTCAAGTGATGAAACAAGCTCATCGCACTCAAACCAGAAAGGGAGGAAAGAAAAAAAAAACAAAAAAAGGGGAGCAGCTTGCAAATAATCCTCTCAAAAGAAAGATCCTCCCTTGGTACGACACCCGTGGATAAAGGTTGAAAACTGGAAAAGGGGTCGATAAAGGTAGTTGGGTGTGAAAGTCAGCCCGTGAATCAGGATGGCCAGACCCCTATGAATCAAAACAAGCTGAAAGTGTCTCGTGACTCAGAGGCTGTATCAGACTCAGGTGCACTTTAAAGGAAAAATTGTAAATAATGTGTACAAAAGTTGTTTTCAAAAGCCAGTGCATAGGTGATAGTTGAAGTGTCACTAACTGCTTATTTCCCAGTGGCTTACGCTTGAAAGTGCCTGTGAATATTGATGGTCTAACATGTGTGTGTGCCTTTGATGCAGTTTGTGTCCCAGTGCTATTGTTACATGTGAAACAGGAAAGTGGGCCAGAATTTTCAAGCCCTTGATGGGTCTATGGTGACATTCTGCGTATTGGGCCTAATTTGGTAGAGAAGAGGCCCAAAAGGCGGTGGAAGTTGAAAAGAAGTGGAAAAGTGGGAAAACAGGAAAGTGGAGAGTTATTTACGGGAAGTGGGAATCCGAAAGATCAGAGCCACTTCCTGATTTAAACCCCAGGATTTCTCGTTCACAAAGGCAAATCAAGAAGAGCATCGTCAATGGTGAAGAGAACTCGGAGAGGACTTATTGGCGCAAGATCTGAGGCGAAGATGGTGCATGCAGATGGCAATGAACAAAAGCCTCATCTGATTGATGATCCCAGTGAAGAGAATCCAAATCCTCCTGTTGCAGCTACTGACGAAAATCCTGCAGCGTCCGATGCTCCAGCTGATAGCTCAGGCACTTTCGCTACTGCAAATGAAGAAGATTCCCAGAGTTCCACTTCTGTGAATCCCGAAGCAAAACCCGGCGACGGAGAAGCCAAGGCTGATTCCGAGACTACCCAGAAAGTCGACGAAGATGAGGCGGAGGTTGAGGAGAATAAGAAATCAGGGGATTCTCAACCTCTCGAGGTTCAAGAACCCATAATCAAGCCTACGGAGCCTGAATCTGTTGCTCAAGATCAAGCCGAAGAAGCGTCATCGGATTCTGGAGCCTCGCCGACTTCTGTCTCGGTGAAAGAACAGGCTGCGAAAGCTGCTCGCAAAGGAAGACGCTGAAGGCGTTGGGACTCCCAGCTTCATCGAAGAAACCCATAACTGAACCATCTCCAGCGTCGAAAGCAGCACCTGAACCAGTCCCTGAATCGGCTCCACAGAAGTGAACCAAGAAGGCTCGGTCTCGCAAAGAACAGCCATCTCCCAGTCAAGCAATGTATGAACACTTTGCTACTCGACATCTTTGGTGTGAGCGAAGTATTGATGTAGGTGAGACTGACCAATGGGGGTACATTAAGATGATCAAGGATGGTGGTCTAGAGCCGATGGTTGTTGGAATCGCTCTATATGTCCCATAAGTGGTTCAGGAATTCTATGCGGGACTTCCGGGTGATATACCTTCAGCACCAGATCAGGAGATTCGAGTCACTCTCAAGGGATTTGAATACAGGTTCTCCCCGATGTTGACCAACCAAGTGCTCAATCTTGAGCCATTGAATAAGGCAGAGGTACAACAAGAGGGAGTAGCTGATGCAGTTTCTCTGTATGATCTGGTCAAGCACTTGTCGAAGGGTAGAAGCAGTTGGAGTGGTTTGACCACGGGAGATCTGCCTCCTATGTTCGCTGCCTTGATCGTCATCTCCGTGTACAACTGAATTTCCTCCACCAACAAGAACCATATCTCTGAGAAATGTGCCAGACTGGTGTACAAACTGAGTCACGGTGTGCGGGTGGATTTCGGAAAGCTGGCCTTCAAGCAGATTTTTCTGATGAGCAAGATCATCAAAAAGGACACCCGTTACTTGGTGTTTCTTTGTTTGATTAAGAAGATTCTGAATGTGCAGCTTGAGCCTCATTTACGGAGAGAAGAGACTCACATTGTCTCATTCCGGTACAAGAAGGACTCTCGAAGTGGAGAAGAGTTCAGAGGCTGCCAAGGCGAAGAAGGAAAAGAAGAAGGAGAAGCAAAAGGCTGAGGCACCATGATCTCTGTCCCCTCCACCGCAGGCACTAACCGACGTTGTCAAAATGTCACCTAGTGTGCCACTTCGGTCATTCCGTGCTCCACCTCCTGATGCATCGTTCAGACCATCCGACGCTGCTCCTGGTAGGACTCAAAGTGCACCTCTCAGAGTAATTCGAGTTCCCTTGGCACCGGCTAGTGCAAATGAAGTGACCTTGGCACTTCAGGATGTGAGTCGTGCGCTCGGTCATCTACAAAGTGTGGTCAACATGCTGATTGACTCGTTTGCAAGTAAGTTTTCTGACTCTGACTTGTAACTTATTTTGGATTGTTTTTAATGAATGGAATATCATTTTTAGTTCCATGGGAAGTATTGGTTTGTGTGCTTGTTCTTGTGTCTTCTTGTGTTAAGTACAGGTGCTTGTGAGTCACATGAAGCTAAAAAGAGGGAGATTGAAGATGTAGCTGCGCCTGAAGCAGTTGTTGTATCAGCGGAACTGAAGCACGGAATGCCACAAGCATGGAGTACGTGACAAGCGAAGCATTTGGAATGAGGAGCTGGACGAGTAGCTGAGCTGGACCATTAGGAATGCGAGTCTTGGAATGGAAGCAAAGCTGGATGAGAGTAGCAGAGCAAATCGGGAAGAATGGAAGATTTCCTTAAACATGCAAAAGTTTAAGAAAATAGGAAACATGCACCAAGCGACAAAAATGGAAGCTGTGGTGTAGGGTTTTGGCGAGTATAGCCGCATAGACTACTAGGTATAAGTAGATGTGTTAAAGCTTTGTATGTGCTTAACATAACTACTAGATAGCACTTAGCATAAGGGTGAGAGATTCGGGTATTAGGATCTGCATTAAGGGTTAAGGGGTTTTCTAGGGGAGTTCTGAGATTAAGTATAGATCGAAGAACGGAGAGAGCTAGGGCGGCAGATCAAGGTGTGTCTTGAGTCTGTCCTAAATCGTGTTAGAAACTTGTAAGGTTGATTAACAGATTTACTAGCAATAAAGTTCATTCAAAAGAAAAACTCTGTGTCAAGTTATGTTTTGTTCTTGAACTAAGAATCTTGCGTTTACAGGCTCAATGCTAGTTGTGCTTAATTGGTGAACCATAGATCTCCAAAAGACTTTATGAAGAACAGCCTTTACGAACTTTAGATGCCCAGTGATTTGATGCAGATTCTCCACATGAGACAAAGGTACTCCAATGCTCTCCATGCTTGTTCTGAAGCTCTTAAAGACTTTCTTTTCATTCTTATAAAGAAAGCGGCCTGGGGATGGAAGTGGGGGTTAATAAATTGGCGGCATATGAGCTTTCTCTTCTTCCTTGGGCTTTTCTTTGGTCTTCTTGTCACCAACTACCTTAACTTTGTCTCTACCAGCTTCATAGACGTCATTTACCACAGCAACACCAGTCTCAAAGGCAACCTCCCCACCTATATTCTAAATGTCCTCATTGAGTTGTGAGGGGGCATCTCTAGGTACAAGGTTTATCTCCTAGAACCTCATGTCTTCATCAAAGGAACCCTAGAAAAGTTTCTCAAATTCTTCTATAGTAGCTTCTTCATCTTCATCAATAGAGTGCATCTCACTTTATATTATAACATTGCAATACTCCTTGGGATTTTTCGCTGACTTCCCTGGTAAAGATCCTTGATTTTGAGAAGAAGAGACTCCTTTGTTCTCCATTTGCCTTATCTTGGTGCTGAAAGTCTCAAGCTTTAAACTCAGGTCATTGTAAGAGCAGTCTACTTTTTTGTGGATCTCAGCCATTTTCTTGCTCAAGTCCATAGCACCATAAGCTTGACCTTGTAGTATCTGTTGAAGCATATTCTTCATTTCTTGATCTTTAGGGCCTAAGCTCTGAGCTATACTTTGTTATTGGGAGGGACAAAACCTTGTTGTTGGGCACCTTGAGTGAAGTTGTTCTGGGTGGGATAGACTTGGTCTTGTGGGTTAGCGACGTGTTTACTCCTATAAAAATTGGGGTGATTCTTATAGTAGTTGAAGCCTTTTTGGTAATCTCATTGGCCACCCTCAAATTTCACTTCTGCTTGGATGTCTTCACCTTGAACATTGTATTGGAACCCTTGGCGTGCATCTCCAACTAATTTGATAGTCTTTTGAGAAGCTAGTAGAAGTTTTTCTATCTTCTCATTTATAACCTTGATGTCCTTTGTCCTCAGTGCTTCAAAGGACCCTTCTTCTCTTGAGGATCTCTCATATTCAGCACCATAATTTTCAACACTCTGTGCTTTATTTTCCACAAGTTCCATAGCTTCTATGACCTCCTTTGTGAAGAAGTTTTCATTTGATGCAGTGTCTAGGTGTAGTCTGATCTTAGGGAGGGCTCCCCTATAGAGTGTGCTTAGAAGTGATGCATCACTGAATCCATGGACATTGAATGGTGTAGCTCTTGAATCTTTCCCATGACTCACGGAAATTCTCATGGTTTTTCTGTGTAAAACTAAAGATTTCATTCCTTAGCCTTGCTGTTCTAGAGCTAGAGGATAATTTAGCAAAGAATATCTTTTTTCATTGATCCCAGGTTGTTATGGAGCCAGGAAGGTTTTTCTCCCATAGATGAGCTTTGTCTCCAAGAGAAAAAAGAAAAAAAAAGCTTGAGCTTGAAGCTGTCTTCTTATTATCCATTTATCTCAGTTAACCCAAATATTCTATCAAACTGATCAAGGTGGTATAGAGGGTCCTCCATAGCAAACCCATGAAATTTGTTTCCTTGACAATGTTGATCAGACCAACTTTTAGCTTAAAGTTGTTGTTTTGTACTGGTGGATCTTGTATCCCTTTTCGGTTTGCATAGGCATTTGATGCAGCTCCAGCTCCAACCAGGTTAGGTCCACGCTGAGAATGTTCTGGTGGTTTATTGACTTGTGCAGCTTGGATACCTTGACCTTGGACGTGTGCTTGTTGTTACCCAGTAGCTCTGCCAGCCTGATTACCCACAGCTTGTTCTTCTCTTTTATTTATATCCAACCTTTGCAAATGCTCAGACCTCTCTCTTCGTCTCCTTGCCCTACTCTCTACCTGATGGATGTCATCAATGTTGGGGCTTAGATTGTCTCCACCTCTACTTCTTGTGTTCATGCACCTATAAGAGAGAGTAGCAATATGAAAGTGAAAGATATTAGTAAATAAAAAGCTTGATCACAAGAAGACCTAAAATCTTAATATTGAAAGCTAATCCCAATTAGCCGGCCCCCACTACCTCATGCTTCAAAAGCGGCTAGTAAAACTTTGGTAGACTCAATTGCTCCAAGTACTAGAGACCCCAAACCTAGTGTTTCGAGTGTAAGAGCACCAAAGACCAAAACTAGAAGATGTCAGGGCTTTTTTGGAATGTTCGAGGCTTAAACAAATCAACAAAAAATTCCATAATAAGGACGTGGGTTCAGAGTAACGGTTTTCAGTTTGGTGGTCTTTTGGAGACAAGAGTTAAGAAGGGTAAAGCAATGCGAGTTGCATCATCGATCTTTAGAGATTAGTCAGTAATAACGAACTACAAGTTCAACCGTCTTGGCCGTATCTATGGTGTGGGGATCTCAAGTGCGACTGAATTTTTTGTTTTTAAAGTGGTCAAATGATTACAGTTTCAGTGAAGCTAAATAATAAAGAAGAAGAGTTCTTTTTTCTTTCTTTTATCTATGCTTCAAATTTACCAGAGAAAAGACGCAAATTATGGAGTGACATTAGGGATCATCCAAATTCTCCTATCATTCTCAATAAGCCTCAGTGATTTGCGTCGGTGATTTTAATGAGATTCTAGGAGCACTCAGAATATTGAAATTCGTCATTTATCCTGCCAGAAATGAGAGATTTTCAAGGTCTGGTAATTGACTGTCATTTGGAGGATATGGCTTATCATGGGACATTATTCACATGGTGTAATAAGAGAGAAGATGGTCTCATCTCAAAAAAACTCGACAGAGTTCTTAAAATTCCTAGGTAGAGTCAAGTTTATCCGCATTAATACAGTGTTTTTGAGGCAGGGGGTGTTCAGACCATTTACAATATTGTTTTTACTTGGAAGCAGGAAAAACAGAGGGAAAGAAGCTGTTTCAATGTGTCAATGCTAAGGCAGAGTTAGATGAGTTCAAACCCATGTTAAGTTCTGGAGTGATACTCGACCTCTTTTTTCTTCGACATTTTCCATATACCGGTTCACAAAAAAGCTTACGGCGCTAAAGCCTCTAATCCGCTCTCTTGCAAAGAACAGAATGGGAAATCTATCGAGAAAAACCAAAGAGGCTTTTGAAACTCTGTGAGAAGCAGGGTGGAAACACGATGAATCCCTCCACTCAGAATATGGAGGAGGAGAATGCAGCTTATAGGCGATGGGATTTCATTTTGAGGTTGGAGGAAAACTTCTTAAAACAGAGATCAAAGATTCATTGGATAAAAACGGGAGATGGTAACAAAAAGACCTTCCAGAAAGCTGTTGTTGCTCGAGAAGCAATAAACACTATAAGGAAAATCAAGCACAGAGATGGTGTAGTGGTATCAGATGGAGATGAGATTAAAGCAGAGGCGGAGGGCTTCTTTACTGAATTTTTGCAACATATTGCAACTGATTTTGATGGAATCTCAACAAAGGAGCTTCAGGAGCTGGTTCAGTACAGATGTTTGGAAGAGGAAGGAAATAAGCCTGTAAAGGTGGTTAAAGATGATGAGATCAAAAGAGTGTAATTCTCTATGCCAGAAAATTCACCGGGTCCTGATGGCTACAATACTGAATCCTATAAGGCTGCAGGGTCAATTGTAGAAAAATAATTCACAATTGCAATAAAATCTTTCTTTGAAAAGGGGTTCTTACCTAGCTTTGATCCCAAAGAAAACATCGGCTGTGGAAATGAGAGACTATCGTCCAATATCCTACTGCAACGTCATATACAAAGTCATTTCAAAGATCATTACAAATAGACTAAAAGAGCTCATGCCAAACCTTATAGCAATAAATCAGTCTGCTTTCGTCCAAGTCCGGTTCCTGATCAAGAATCTCCTCTTGGAAACAGAGTTGATCAAGGACTATCACAAAGATACAACCTTTGCCTGATGTGCAATCAAGATCGATATTTCGAAAGCTTTTGATTCGATTCAGTGGTCTTTTCTTCTCAATGTCCTTAAAGCTATGAATATCCCTGATATATTCATTAACTGGATATCACTCTGCATCACTACAACATCTTTTTCGGTGCAAGTTAATAGAGAGCTGGCTGGTTTTTTTTGAAGTAAATGAGGACTGAGACAGGGTTTCTCATTATCGCCATATCTGTTCGTGATCAGCATGAATGTACTATCCAAAATGATGTATAAGGCAGCAAGCTATCATAAAATACGGTATCATGCAAAGTGTAAGAACATTGGATTTACACATCTGAGTTTTGCAGACAATATCATGATTTTGTCAGCTGGTAAGGTACGGTCGGTCGAAGGTATTGTCAAAGTCTTTGAGGAGTTTGCAAGGATATCAAGACTCAGGATAAGTATGGAGAAATCTATGATATGCTGGCAGGAGTCTCGGAGGCAGTGAGAAATAAGATAACAAACAAATTTCACTTTGATGGGCTTTTACCAGTTCGCTACTTGGGACTGCCTAACCAAATGTCGAGAAAAGATTATTTTCCTTTTCTGGAGAAGATCCATAGGCATATAAGTACATGGACAACGTGATCTTTGTATATTGCAGAAAGGTTGGAACTCATTCCTTCTATTTTGCACAGCATTTCTAACTTTTGGTTAGCAGTTTTTAGACTCACAGGTGAAGAATGCCTCAAGGAAATAAACAAGATTTGTTTAGCTTTTTTTTTTTGTCAGGCCTGGATTTGAATCCTCGCAAATCAAAAATAGCTTAGGAAGATGTTTGTAGGATCATAATTGGAGGAGGATTGGGTCTCCAGCTATAAAAAGGAGGTGAATAGTGTTTGTTGTTTATAACTGATATGGAGTATTGTCTCATCTCATCCCTCTATATGGGTGAAATGGATTCAGACATACCTTATTAGACAAGGAACGTTTTGGTCGATCAACAACGACAAAGGGGTAGGATCTTGGATGTGGAGAAAAATCATAAAATACTGACAGCTTGCATGCTCTTTCCACAGAGTTGACATTCGAAATGGGGGGGGGGGAACAAAAATTTGGTATGATATATGGTCAGACATGGGAAGACTAATTGATCTGACAGGCCCGCGAGGATACATAGACCTGGGTACTCCTCTCAATGCTACAGTGGGTTTGCTGTTGCAGAGAAGAAGACGTCATCTTAATGAAGTCTTGAATGAGATCGAAAAGGTCATGTACACACAACTTGCAGATTTACGACCTGAAGCAGATGATATTCCCTTCAGGAAGAATAAGGAGGGAACTTATAAATCAAATTTCAGTTCGAAAGACACCTGGAATCTCATCCGCTGGCAAGTCGGATTTGGTTTTGTAAGAAGTTAACACACTTAATCTTTTGTCCAAGTCCGAAGCAAACAGGCTAATCCGCTGGCAAGCCAAATGTATCCGAATTTTGTAATTTAAACTCAATTCCTCAAACTACTCATATCATTTTAGCATTTGAGGTATAAAACCAAATGTGGATTTCTAGACACAAGAGCTATGTGAATTTATCCTAATCTAAGTCAAACAAGTGGAATAGTAATTAAACACGATTAAACTATCAAGATTAAACAAGAAATGAAGCTAAAAAAGAAAGCAAACAACTTAACAAGATAAAGACTCAAGATAATAAAAGCTAAGACTCTAGATGTGATAATTGATTAGGGTGCTTTCAGTACTAGTTCATGATGCTAAGCAAACAGTGAGACACTTGCAACTCTTTAGCCTAAACTTCTAATTTAGACTAATCCTTTCTCAAGACATTAATTCCTATGATTATCACCTAATCAAGACTAATTCTCATTAGTGAAAAGTCATTTAACAAGTATGATAATCAATAACTAAATGACCAAACAACGTCTAAAACATCAAAGTAATGAGCTAAGAAGGCTGAATCTTACACAGAAAGATATAACAAGCATCACACAATCTCAAATTCCAATCAACTTAGAACTCTAAAACAAGATAAATTCTTTCTCAAGATACTGATCACAATCCTAATCATCATTCAAACCTAATTCCCATTAATTTAATAATAATCAAGAAGCATTAATAAATAGTTCTAATATGTCATTTATGCTTCAAAAAAGCATTCTCATGGTGATCAAAGCATAAACTCTTAGTTAGCTATTTCAGACATTTATCAAACACTTTGTGGGTAGAGAAATGTCTTAGGTCTAGATCAAGCTGATTATGAAAGATCTAGCATTAAGAGCAGCTAAATCAGCTAAATGAGAATCTAGCACCTAAACATCATAAACTAAGCATCTAAGCACCCTAATCATGTTAAGTTGATTGCTTTCTTGTTTAGCTTCATTTCTTGTTTAATCTTGTTTAATTACTACTCCACTTGTTTGACTTGGATTAGGATAGATTCCCATAGATCTTGTGTCTATCAATCCATATTTGGTTTGATACCTCAAATGCTACAATGATATGAGTAGTTTGAGGAATTGAGTTTAAATTACAAAATTTGGATACATCTGGCCGGTATGAGTGAGGGGTAAACTCTCAGCCTTGGGTCTTCTCTACACCAATCACTTGCACCTGGTGCTTTGTGTCCGGTGTGGATGCCTTCTTGCCTTGACTCTTCAAAGTTCTAGATCCAAGACCGGTCACTCTTCTGGTATGACTGCCCAGTATTCTCTCGGCCTGAGGCTTCTTCCATGCTGGTCACTTCTAGAAAGGGTAAGTGAGCGGTATTGCTGGCCAGCATGGGTGTCTTCGAGTTGCATGCTTCTCCAAGTCCACTCCTAGCAAGGGAAGTCCAAGCTAAGCGCCTCCAAGGTCTCCGAAACTCCAAAGTTACCTAAAGAGACTCCAAAACATGCAATAATCCCTTGGACGACATCATCTAAGACACTCTACACCCTATATATATGAATGCAAAACTAAAGAAAACCTACAAGAACACAAGGAAAAATAGATAAAAACTAAGGTAGATGTATGCTAGTAAGGGATAAAATAATATGAGTATATTATGTCTGACTGGTGAAAGAACATAATTGTTTTTACAACTGGCTCAGAGTTCTGCTTTTCTCCTTGAGCTTCTTCGATCAAATTGGGTCGAAACCGACACAAACCTTTTTGACTCGGAACATTTCACTAATGTATGTCACGTAGCCCAAGATGAAAGGGAGTATGGTTCTTAACACGATGTTAGGGTTTTTGAGAGTAGAATAATGTCTTCCATATTTTTGTTGACTTTTGATACTTGTTAGTTGAAGACATGTTACTTTTGCAGGGAGAACTGCGCCGTATTTGTGTAGATGTTGATCATAATAGCATGTGATGCAGGCAGTTATTTTTTCCTAGGATAATTATGTGTAACATGGTTCGATCAAAAATAAATCTATAGTTAAAATATAACCGACCAAAAAAGAAAAAAAAGACATGTTACTTTTTTATGTAATTTCACTAAATATGGTAGATTGGGAGTACAACAATTACCCAAATATTTATGTGATTTTGAAAAATACGGTAGGGAAACTGCATTCAACAACATCAACGAATGCAAAAAAAATTAAGGCACCATAATGATTTCCCGTACCTTTATAGTTATATGTTTGTAAATGGAGTCAAACCTTTAAATCACTAACTTGGAATCTGCACATCATCAGAACGTTAATGGTTTATGATTCGAGGAAGAGGACGGCACGTAAGGGGATTAGCCAAAGCCATGAAGAATTTTAATCCGGTAGCTTCTTCCATGTTGACATTATCTCCATTGATTTCCCAGTCAAAGCACTGCACCATCACTCCAACTGCGGTTCCTACTAAGATATAAGCTAAACTTGATCCAGGACATCCTCTCCTTCCAGTTCCAAAAGCGAGGAACTTCAGTGCTTGCTCTCGTCTCTCCTCCTCTTGCCCTGATCTTGAAGAAGCTAGAAACCTTTCTGGCTTAAACTCATTAGGATCTTCCCAAGAATCAGGATCTCTCATTACAGCATAAGCATTGATAACAAGTGATGTACCCTCAGGTATGTAGAATCTTCCGATCTTGCACCCTTGTTCAAACTCCCTTGACAAGACAGGCGCCACGGGGTGCAATCTTAGAGTTTCCTTGACGACCGCTTGCAAGTAAGGGAGTTTTGGTAAATCAGTTTCTTGAACAATTCTTGTTTTACCTACCACAGAATCAATTTCTTCCCTTAATTTCTCAAGGATCTTAGGATTGTTGATAATTTCTGCCATTGCCCACCGCGTTGTTGTAGAAGACGTGTCACCTGCTCCAAAGAAAAGCTCCTGCAGTTGCAAATATTTGTTTGATATGATTGTGTTTGTTTGGATTCTCAATGAAATATTGGTAGCCATTTACCGCAAATAACGCCTTGATATTTTTCCTAGTGATCTTATACTCTGCATTTTCGTCTCGATAAGCTGCCATCAATGTATCCATAAACTCAGTACCTTGATGGTCGTCCATTTCCTCTTCGTATCTCACAAGAGTTTTCTCAAGAAGCTCCTCAAATCTGTGTGAAACCTCCATTATCTCCTTTTTCAATAGTGAGATACCGAGCTTCTCAAGCGGCTCATTAAATATTTGTGCCACAAAAAACGTGCGGGACAAGGCACTTAACTTTACAGTAAACTCCGAGACTTTGCCCCCGTCATTGTCCTCCACTGAGAAAGCACTTCCCATGCTCAACTTTCCAAGGGTGTTGTTAACGAGTCTCATCGCTTCCTCGCCAATCTCGACGCTCTGTTTCTTCATCGCCTTATCAAGCAGGTTCTTGTAGAACCGCTCTAGCTCAATCACACGAACTCCGTGTGATCGCTCCAGCGCCTGTGGTCCAATCCCCTTAGTAGTGATGATCTTCTTGATTAACCTCCAGTAACCTCCATAGGGAGCTCTGAGGAAGCCAAAAGAACCAAACACGATGCACTCATCAATCGCAACAGCGCCACGAAAGGAGACGTACATGTCGTGGGACTTGAATATCTCGTGGGCCATTGAGGCAGAGGAGACGAGAACGATAGGGACATGGAAGATGCGGAGATGGAGGAAAGGTCCGTATTTTGATGAGATTTTATGAAAACACTTGTGGATAGGAGCAAGGAGGAGAAGGTGAAGATGACCAATAATTGGAAGAGAAGGAGGGCTTGGAGGCAGATCAAAGCCATTCTTTGGTTTCTTAAAGAAGAAGACAAAGAGAAAGAGGGTTAAGAAGAGGCAGAAGAGGGTTAAGATGAAACAGTTTTGAAAATCAAAGCTGACCGTTGCTGCCATTGTTGCTTAAAAGAGGAGAGGAGGAAAATGAAACGGAGGATTGTTTAAATCCATTAATATAAGAAAGTGAAAATAGAGATGTGAAAGTATATAATAGTGTATATCAGAAGTTAAGTTTGCATTAATCGTGATGGAATTAATGTTATTCATGATATTTGCATTTATGCATGACGTAACTTCATACACCATCATTCGCATGATATTTGCATGATTTTTCCAGTCCGGCTATCATCATTCGCACGTAACTTCATGCACGATATATATTTTCCAATTTTTAATATTTATTTTTAATTTTTATTTTGTATTTTTTGATAAATATATTCAAGATCAGTTTGTTTTGTTTACAAAGTTCAATAAAATAGAAACTATATGTCTATCATGGAATGAACGATGTTTTGGTGATTTGAACATTTGCTTGGTCGATTGTTCATGTACCTGTTTGTTTTGTAGAAACAATATAAAAGTTTATAGATAGAAAAATTAATTTTATCTATAAATTTTCAATTTTACAGTGTACATGTATTGTTTTGAATAAATTCTACATTTAATTTAAAAAGAACAATATAAAAGTTAACTAATCAAGTGATAGTGGACTAGTGGTTTATATTTGTTGAAGAGTTGCCTTGTAGCCTGAATGTATAGATCAAGGATCGATTCTCTTCAAGTGTAGAATTATGTGATGATTCCCGTTTGGGCAGTCAAAATTGTGTCATAACTTAGACTCATTAGGAATCTCTAGTTAATGGTCTATGCAACGGCTACACTCACCTCGGAGAGATGAGTCAGATGGTAAATACCCTGATCATGACTCTATTTGTTGTACAAGAAACCAGTAGCCGAAAGCTTTACGTGGAGCTCAGACGTTTGGAGACCAATGTTGGTGTTAATGTTGTTTTTCTAAAATACCTATTTGTATTATTTATGTTGTTGAATCGAGGATGTAACGGTTCTAAGTGTGTAAGTATGACTCTATTTGTTGTACAAGAAACCAGTAGCCGAAAGCTTTACGTGGAGCTCAGACGTTTGGAGACCAATGTTGGTGTTAATGTTGTTTTTCTAAAATACCTATTTGTATTATTTATGTTGTTGAATCGAGGATGTAACGGTTCTAAGTATGTAAGAATATCTAAGAATGAATGAAGCCTCCTTGGGTATTATGGCACAACCCGCCCCAGGGCGACATGTGTCTAGATGGGGTGTTACAAAAGTGGTATCAAAGCATGGAGACTGTTATTATGTAATATTCCGATTTCTGATATATGCGGAGAGGCTTATAAAAATTAATTTGGTTTATCTATATCACCAAAGTGCACTTATCTTTCCGAGCACTGGTTTTGAGAGAATTCTAGATTTAAGCGTGCTTGAGCTGGATAAATCTCAGCATGAATGACCTATCAGGAAGTGATCTGCAGTATCGTATGTCTATGGACAAAGCACGTAAAAAGATTACATAGTGATTGCAAGATAAGTAAACAAGTCTTACCAGCCTCTCGGACAATGCATTGGCCATTGGACAGGGGTAGACCCATGGCCGAGAGAGAGGATGTTGGGCTCACTGGTAGGGGCGGTCGAGGCGTTATAAGTGGTATCAGAGCCGAACCCAAACACGTGTGTAGAGTCATGTGGGCTCACACCGTCTAGGAAAAGGATTCTATTCCGCAACAAGGTTGTTGCACTCTATGAGTGGAGGTGATTGTAACATCCCGATTTCTAGGCTTATAAGAATTGATTTGGTTACCTATATCACCAAAGTACACTTATCTTTCCGAGCACTGTTCTTGATAAAACTCTAGAGTTAAGAGTGTTTGAGTTGGAGAAATCTTAGGATAGGTGACATACTGGAAAGTGGTCCGCGGTACTGTGTGAGTGAAGACTGATGTGGTGTGCGGGGTATGAGAAAGTTTTACCCTAAATCAAAACAATTAAGTTGAAACTGCACAACTATTCAATTGTAATACTTAGGGATCGAATCCACATGGAAGAAGGATATTTTCTGCAAATTTTTTTGAAAGAGATTGAGTAAGGAAGTCTAGAACTATCGATTTTTAAAGGGGTTTTTAGGTGTCCCTAAAAAGCTAGATCCTAATCTAAATGGGAAAAGAAAAAACTACTTAAGAAAAATCGATTGAAAACTAAAGTGAAATAGCTTGAATAAAATTGATGTAAAAACTTATAATAGAAACGCTGGATTGTTTGAAAATATCTTTGGGGTATGACCGATTCAAAACATGCTAAAAAGAAAATAAAAAACATCCTAGCTAAAACTCTTAGAACTCAAGTACGAATGTATGACTACATCACTTTCGTGATCATAACCAACTGCCACCCACGACCCTGACCAGTAGCTTTCGTCTCCGGCCCCAGTAACAGGTGCACATAATATATTGTACAAGACTCGTCTACATTCACAACCCACCCATAGGTAGCTTTCTTATCCTATGGCAGAATTGCTCTTCTAAAACTAGATCTCGCAGATAATGAAAACTCTCTCAAAAATACCTAAATCAGAATATAGTTCATGACGATACTCTCATGCATTAAAAATAAGTTTAGAAGAAAGAGTTCTAGGATTCGGCTTGATAGCTCATGCAATCTTCATCGAACATATATATTCCCCATCAAAAATTTGCTTAAACCCAACAAGTAAACGACTCAGACATGATTAAAGAAAGCAAAAACATTGTAGAAGAAAGCTGTAAAGAATTTGATATTGAAAAAAAAAAAAAGGGTTCAAAGATGGATTTCTATCTCCCTAAACCTAACTGCTAAGTATGAGAAACCTAAAACAAACTAAGCACTCTTAACACTTAGCACACGGTGTAGGGTTTTTAAAACAGGTATTTATATGTCTTTAAGGCATGATTTGTCGTCACTTAAGGTTTCTTCAAAGACAGAAATTAAATGGGCTTTAAATTGGGCTTCTGAAATCGGACAATGTTTCTCCGCGGCCAGGAACTCTCTGGCCGTGGTAAATCATGTATTGGCTGTGGTCCGGAAGGCTGGCCTGCTACTTGATTGGATTTCTTGATCTTTTCATAACTTTTGATTGAACCGTTGGATTGTCCTTATGTTAAGTGTTCTGGAAAGCTAGCTGACGCATCTTCAAGGTCTCCAAATTTGAGCTGGATCAGACGGTGAAAAAGTTTTCATTTGAGGGTGAACTTCTGATTCTTTGACTTTGAGCTGAAAATCTGGTTTTCTTTCCAATTTGCAAAACTTTTGTTTAAGTTTCCTGAAAAGAGTCTTGAGACTACAAATACTAGAAAAATATAATAAAAATACTTTAAAGAAATAAAAACATTAGAAAAGCATTTAAAAATAATCCATAAAAGGTTACTTCCCCCAAACTTAGATATTTTCCGGGATTCAATAAGATCATCTCCTAGACTCCAAAAAATCGAACTGTGGTTTGCCGCATAAAAAATATCGATCCCCTTAGACTCTCTAAGGTTTTTATTTCCTTTATTTGCTTATTTTTCTTATTTTCTGTTTTTTTAGAAATGGGAAACACCTTTTATTGAGAGAGAGAGTCTCTAAGGGACGAAAAATATACCATGTTTTAAAGTTTTTCTGAGGCAAACTAAGTTTTCTTCCTTGTTGAATCATTCCCAGAAATTGCAAGCCTTTATCTTCAGTTAGTGAAAACTGCGTTGTTCATCTTTCTCTCTGACATTTTTGCACATATTGATGCGTGCTAGGGTTAGCAGGTTTTATAAAAACCTAGTATCCTCTAAGTGCACAGTCGTGTGATATAGTACTTAGGGTGTCGATCCACAGGGAGGTTGTTTAATCTGAAAAAAACTTCAAACTGGGATAAGTAAGAGAAATAATAAACTCAGAAGGGTTTTCGTAAGTTTTGGTTTTTACGGGAAAAGAAAAGATAAAATAAAACTAAGAAAAATCCTAGACCATATCGATTAGACGTAAAATGAAAAAAAAGGTGAGTTGCTAAGGAAAAACTAAGGGATGTATTCAAATTAGGGTTCTAAACTCATAGGGGGTCGACACAAACTTCTAATGTTAACCCTAATCGATATCTAAGTATTTTCCGGCTAGTCTCAGGTAGCATTTCTTTATCTATTCCTAGTATCTGCATGGAACTAGAATAAGCACTTATATGGTAACCAACTCTCGTCACCTTAACCAACTAATCACTTAAACTCTACAAGTAGATTTCGTCTCTTTCAGCAAATAAGATCATGCATTAACTTAACTGAATTCGTTTTTACTCACATCTTCTCTATAGGTAGCTTTCGTCTCCTACAATGACTATATTCTTCTGAAGCTATGTACGGAGTTATTAAGAAATTAGGTCAAAGGAAATTGTCTCATTAAGAAATCTTTGACCTAATTTCTGGGACTCATTAAGAAATCTTCAACTCTCTCAAATGATGATCTGTAGAATCCTTGAAACTCATGGCATACCATTAGACTTCTCTTAGACAATTTCCTTTCTTTTATTCTCACTTTTATATATATATCGCCTTTTTTTATAGGGGGAAAGTCTTTTTAATAGAGAGTAAGTCCAAAGTCGACCATATATCGTATATCTGAATTTCCGGGATTTAGTAATGCTCTTGGGAATCTCCTCTACTAGTAAAGTACAGTCTTCATTGATAACACCTGATTTTGACCACTTTTCACCATTGATTTCAAATGCTTTTTCAAAGGTTTTACTTTGTTTTAGGAAATTTTATTATGATTTCCATGTATTTATAGTTTAAAGGCTCTTTTCATGAAATTTAGGGAATATGATGGCAAAATGGAAGAAATCCACATTTTTATCTCAGAGTCAGACCATCACAAGTTAAGCCTCAAATGAAGGCATTCTCACCGTCCGATCCAGCTCAAATTTGGAGACAATCAAGAGGATACAACCAGCTTTCCATAACACTTTACATCACAAAGATCCAACAGTGAAATCAAAAGATACATGGAGAACAAGTTGACCCAGTTCACCAGTCCCGGAAGACTCTCACCCGCGGCAAAAGCATGTTTTACCTGTCCTGGAAGACTCTCACCCCCGGTGGACCTTAGGACGACTCACAAGACCCAACATCAAAGGCCACTTCGCCATTTCTCTTCAGAGAAGCCCTAAATGAGACTTGGAAGACCTTAGGACCTATAAATACATTGTTTAGCAGCCCTAAACGGGTGTGTGCTCCTGTAATGAGATTTTGAGCCACCAAACTTTGTTTTTCTAGGGTTAGACGATGGAGATGGGGATTCTTCCCCAGATCCATTGTTCTTCCTCCTTTTTATCTTATTAACCTTTCTGTTTCATTCTTTTGCATTCTTCTATGTCTTTTATCATTCATTGCATCATGTAGATTAGTCCCAGAGAGTCAAGATGTTTGAAGATATCGACAAGCATATATATCGATTAGGATTTCCATTGTTCTTAGCCATATTTTGGATCTCATCTCTTCTAAGTTATTCGTAAAGCATGAGAGTAGATTCATGACCTATTCTCTGAGCCTAGGATCGATCAGAGCCACGAGAGTGCTGTATCAGATCATCCGTACCTAGCTTCAGAAGAACATAGTCGCTATAGGAGTCGAAAGCTACCTATAGAGAAGATGTGAGCAGACGAATTCAATGTTAAATGCATGATCTTAAATTTAGCATGAGATCAGCGAGAGTTAATTGCTAGATCTAAGAGATTAGTTGATTAAGGTGACGACAGTTGGTTAATCATACATGTGTCTATTCTAGTTCAATGCAGATTCCCAGAAACAGATGAAGATAAATCATCCGGAAGCTAATTGGAAATGCCACCATACATCGATTAGAGTAAACCGGAGAAGTCTAAATCGCCACCTATGAGTTTAAGAGTCTTTAGTTTGAGTCGATATGCTTTAGATGTTTTTTTAACAATTCATCATGCATTGCATTTCTTGTGAATACTAGATTAGGTTTAGTTTAGGATCTTAACCAAAAACCCCAAATCTTTTATTGGTTTATGAGTTTGCTTACTGTTGGGGTCGGTTTCCACCCTAGCTGAATTAACCATTTCGAAATGACTAAGTGTCGGAAGATCTCGACGAATCCGAGCTCTGTGAAGAAGCAAGCCGAGCCCATCCATGAGGCAGGATGGGTCGAGCCCTGCTATGACCGTGGGCCGAGCCCCTGAAGCAACATGGATCGAGCCGCAAGGTGATACAGGCCGAGCTGTGGGCCGAGCCGCATAAGAAGGAGAATGGGCCGAGCCACTTCCCTCCACAATTGGGCCGAACCGAAGCCTTGAAGGACGAAAGCCCATAGAAACCCTAGGCAAAGTATCATGACGGCGGCCGCACGAAGCGATAAGGAAATATTCCGAAAATCTCTCCCGAGATTCTTGGCTAGGCGGTTTAGAGAATTAGTATAAATAGACGATGTATACAATTCATTCTGTAACTTTTCACAACTCGAGAGCAATAAAGACTAAAAAACTTTCACAGCAATAAAAACCCTCTTTTGATCTTACTGTTCTTGCAATTACCCTAGAAATTTCGGATCCCTTAAGTTTTCTTTACAAAATTTTTGGTTGTGCGAGCTTTGGCTCACAAAATTTGGCGCCGTCTGTGGGGACATCGAAACTTTCTTACTCTAAAATCGACAATACTTTAAGATCCAAAGAACATGGCGAGTAACCCCCTCGACGATAACAACAACAACAACGACAACGGCGCGGAGAAGGACGCTCCAGCATCGGGCACAACGACGATGACAACTGCAACCCAAGAGGAGATGCAGATCATGATGGCTGCGTTGATGAAGAAGATCGACGAGCAGGACAAAAGGAACGAGGCGATTACGGAAAGGCTCGACGCAATAACGGCCGAGCGACGACACCCGACTAGGAGAGCCAGAATCTCCGACCCGATGGATGGAGTCCGGAGACGCTTCGATTTCTCAACGCCTGCAGAAGCCTCGGGGAGCGGCGCAAGAAACCCCTTGGCTCCACCAGTGTTTCGCCCCCTCGGCGAACAGACCCCCATGGCAACCCGAGTCAACATGACCGAGCCGCCTCCACTTCGTCGGAACTCAAGGCGACGAGCCGACGAAGAGGAGAATGACGCGATTGACGTGGATGCCCAACAGAACGATGAAACCACGAACTCGCAACAGAACCGCTCGGCTCGGCGAATAAGCCAAGAAGAGCTCGCCTCGGCACTAAACGGCATCCGGACTGATGAAGTCACCAGCCCGGCTCGCCACGGCGACCCGACTGAAGAAGAGGAAAACCTCCAATGGATCGAGCAGGCAGAGCGCGAAGACGAGCCGAGGAGAGAAGAGCGGGAGTGGTCTCGCTAGTCGAAAGGAATGACTAACGCGCAAACCCTCGAAATCAAAGAGCTGCAAGCATCGATGGCTCGAACGGTGGCCGAGATACGCGCCATGAAGTCTCAAGTAAATAACGCGACGAGTGCCGCACCCGAGATCGATCGAATGCTCGAAGAAACTCAGAGAACACCATTCACGGCGAGAATCACGGAAGCTAGGATTCCCGAGCCCGGAAAGGTGAGAATCCCATTCTACGAAGAAACGACCGACCCGAAGGCACATATCACAGCGTTCCGGATAGCAATGGGACGAGCTTTCACAAAGAACGCTGCCAATCTGACCGAGCGGGAAGTAGATGCCGGATATTGCCAACTCTTTGTAGAACATCTCAAGGGAGCCGAGCTCGAATGGTTTTCAAGACAGGAGCGCAATTCAATCGGCAGCTTCCAACAGCCCTCCGCTTTGTTCTTTAAGCAATACTCGATGTTCATGGATAGAGGAAATTCTGATGCCGACCTATGGACGTTATCCCAAGGACCGAATGAACCGCTTCGGGAGTACATGGCAAGATTCAAGGCGGTCGTGTCCAAAGTAGAAGGAATAAGCGACAAGGCTGCACTCGAAGCTCTAATGCAGTCCTTGTGGTACAAATCCGAATTCCGACGGGAAATGGCCCTCAACACGCCGCAAACGATTCAAGATGCCTTGCATCGGTCGCCAGACTTCGTCGTAAACGAAGAAGAGATGAAGAATCTGGACGAACAATACGAAGCAACAAAAGCAGCAATTCGGAGCTCAATTTTGACGCGCCCCTCGAAGAAATGCAATCTATCAAACAACGCAACAGCGCAGAGCTTGGACGAACCAAGAAGCGGAGGTGCCCACAATTACCAAGTAGGCACTGGACGCGGAAGAGGAGAGCCGCGCAGCAACACTTGGGTAAGAAGATCCACCAACTACGACGAAAAGAGTTCTACGAGTATCACCAGACCTATGGGCATTCAACGGCACAATGCCGAACTCTAGGAGCAAAACTCGCGGCTAAGATGGCGGCAGGAGAGCTCCAGAACGCGGTGAATCTCAAAGACCTTGTCCCTAATGAGCCAAAAGAGGGAACCGAGCCGAGCGGCACGGCAGAACCCGCAAATCCTCCCCGACAAGGTGATAACACCAAGCGCGACAGGAGAGGTGAACCCAAGGAATGACCCAAGCCGAGACAAAGAATCAACATGATCATGGGTGGATCCCAATATTACCAAGAAACAGTGTCTTCCATTAAGGCTTACCAGCGCCGAGCCGAAGCGAAGGAAAATTGGACGGAGCCGACCGATATTCCGAACACGGTAATCTCCTTCGCCGAAGAGGAAACGGCAGGGATAGATAGACCACACAACGATCCACTAGTGATCGAATTGACGATCCGAGACCATGATGTAGCGAGAGTACTCATCGACACTGGGAGCTCGGTAGATGTTATTTTCAGGGAGACACTCAGAAGGATGGGAATCGATCTCTCCGAGGTGACGGCGATCCGCAAACCTCTGACCGGATTTTCAGAAGAAACGACAATGACTATGGGCACAATTAGGCTCCCTGTGGTAGTCGGTTGAGTCACTAGGATCGTCGAATTCTGTGTCACCGATCACCCTCCAATCTACAATGTGATTATGGAAACTCCATGGATCAACGCAATGAGAGCGATCCCATCAACCTATCACCTCTGCCTCAAATTCCCAACTCCAGCAGGCATTAAAACAATTTGGGGAAGCCAGAAGGAGTTGCGAATGTGTTGCCTGGCGGAGCATAAGTTGACGAACCCCGTTACCGATGCACGAGCAGACGTAGATCGCAAAAATTTAAAGACGGACCGAGAGCCTGCAAAAGAGCTCTCGAAACTCTTATAGCAATTACAGATCGCGGAGAGCCGCGAAACACGCGCCGAGCCGGTATGTGACGCGGTGGACTCGGTGTGCATAGACGAGACACGTCCAGAACGACGCGCTGAAATCGGAACTAAGCTAGAAGAGCCTCTAAGAAGCGAGCTTTTTTCCCTCCTCAAGGAGAATATCGACACTTTCGCCTGGACAGCGGAGGATATGCCAGGCATAAGCATCGACGTGACCTGTCACGAACTGAACGTTGACCCCACCTTCAAACCAATCAAGCAAAAAAGGAGGAAGCTCGGACCCGAACGAGCTAAAGCAGTTAACGACGAAGTGGAGAGATTGCTCAAAGTAGGATCAATCGCCGAGGCCAAATACCCGGACTGGCTCGCGAATCCGGTGGTTGTGAAGAAGAAGAACGGCAAGTGGCGGGTCTGTGTAGACTTCACTGACCTCAACAAGGCGTGCCCAAAAGACAGTTTCCCACTATCACACATCGACCGGCTCGTCGAAACCACCGCGAGAAACAAGTTGTTAACATTTATGGACGCTTTTTCTGGTTACAACAAAATCCTGATGCATCTCGACGACCGGGAAAAAACGGTGTTCATAACCGATCACGGGATATACTGCTACAAAGTCATGCCGTTCGGACTCAAAAACGCAGGGGCAACATATCAGCGGCTCGTCAATAAAATGTTCGCAGATCAGCTTGGAAAAACCATGGAGGTTTACATCAATGACATGTTGGTCAAATCACTTGAGGAGAAAGACCATGTCGCGCACCTACGAGAATGCTTCGAGCAGTTAAACAAACACAACATGAAACTAAACCCGGCGAAGTGCAGATTTGCGGTTACCTCAGGAGAGTTCCTCGGCTACCTGGTGACCCACCGAGGCATCAAAGCGAATCCTAAGCAGATCAACGCATTAATCGAGATGCCCTCTCCAAGGATGAAGCGAGAATTTCAAAGGCTCACATGAAGGGTCGGTGCACTAAACAGATTCATTTCCCGCTCCACCGACAAGTGCCTGCCTTTCTACGACATCCTTCGAGGAAATAAATAATTTGAGTGGGACGAGCGATGCGAAGCAGCTTTCATGGAATTGAAGAGTTGTCTAGCGAGCCCGCCGATCTTGGCGAAACCAGTTGAAGGAGAGCCCCTCTTCCTCTACATCGCCGTGTCTGCTACGGCTGTGAGTGGTGTGCTGATAAGAGAAGAGCGATCCGAGCCAGACATTGACCGACGCCGAGACCCGTTACCCCCAGATCGAGAAGGTCGCCCTAGCCGTTGTAGTATCGGCTCGCAAGCTGCGTCCGTACTTTAATTCACATTTGATTGTTGTGCTCGCTACATTTCCGCTGCGCTCGATCCTGCACAGCCCGAGCCAATCCGAACGGCTCGCCAAATGGGCCATAGAGTTGAGCGAGTACGACATCGAGTATCAGAACAGATCGTTTGCAAAATCACAGGTGCTCGCAGATTTTCTCATCGAACTTCCGACCGAGGCAACGACCGAGCCGACCCCAAACAAAGTATGGATGCTGCACGTAGACGGCTCGTCGTCTAAACACGGGTCGGGAATAGGAATCCATCTCACCTCTCCCACCGGGGAAATATTGGAGCATTCCTTTCGTCTGAACTTCCACGCCTCGAACAACAAAGCAGAATACGAAGCACTGATCGCTGGCATACGACTGGCGCAGGGAATCGGAGTTCGAAAGATAAGAGCCTTTTGCGATTCACAGCTCGTAGCATGTCAATTCAACGGGGAGTACGAGGCAAAGGATGGACAAATGGGAGCTTACCTCAAAGTGGTCCGAGATTTGGTGCAAAAGTTTGACGAGTTCGAGCTCACACAAATACCCCGAGGTGAAAACACCTCGGCAGATGTCTTGGCAGCACTTGCTTCGACTTCAGACCCAGATCTCCGACGGAAAATTCCAGTCGAATTCATCGAACGTCCTAGCATCGAAGAGGTAGAAGGAGTTCGGCTGATAAATCCTCCTGAGCAGGAACCAGAGAGCGGCGAAGAAATCCCATGAAGACGCCTCACCTGCCGAGCTGGAGTACGGCTGCGACAAAGAATGGCTCGGAGCCATCCAAGTATATATCGCCGATGGACAAGTACCATCCGACAAGTGGAAAGCCCGCAAATTAAAAGCTCAGGCCGCACGATATGTCCTCGTCGACGGCGAGGTGTTTAAATGGAGATTTTCAGGACCGCTCATGACATGCGTCGAGGGACCGGAGGCAAGGAAGATAATGCACGAAGTGCATAGCGGCGCGTGCAGAAACAATTCTAGCGGAAGGTCACTCGCGATCAAGATAAAACGGCACGGTTACTTCTGGCTTACGATGGTCAAGGACTGCGAGAAGTTAACGGCGAAGTGCGAGAAATGTCAACGGCACGCGCCTACAATCCGCCAACCTACCGAGCTGCTGTCATCGATCTCGTCATCTTATCCTTTCATGAGATGGTCGATGGATATAGTCGGACCTCTACATCGATCGAAGCAGAAGCGCTTTCTTCTCGTCCTCACGGATTATTTTTCTAAGTGGGTCGAGCCTGATTCCTACGCGAGCATAAAGGACGCTCAAGTCGAAAACTTCGTCTAGAAAAACATCATCTGCCGACATGGGGTCCCCTACGAGATAGTCACCGATAACGGATCCCAGTTCATCTCAACGCGTTTTGAAGCTTTCTGCGAGAAATGGAAAATTCGTTTGAGCAAATCTATGCCGAGATATCCCCAAGGGAATGGACAAGCCGAAGCAGCCAACAAGACGATCCTAGATGGTCTGAAAAAGAGGTTCGACGCCAAGAAAGTTCGATGGGCAGACGAGCTCGAAGGAGTCCTTTGGTCGCATCGGACAACTCCGCGCCGAGCCACTGGAGAAACTCCATTCGCTCTAGTCTATGGAACGGAGTGCGTAATTCCTCCGAGGTGGATTTCCCATGTATTCGACGAAGACTTCTGCCAGGACAAGAGGGCTTGAATCACTTAATGATGCTGGACGAGCTCGATTTGGTCAACGAAAGGCGCGACCAAGCCTAATCCGAATCCAGAACTACCAACATGCAACGGCGAGATACTACAACAAAAATGTTCGAAGTCGAAGATTTAAAGAAGGAGACCTTGTTCTTCGAAAAGTTTTCCAAAACAATACTGAGAAGAATGCGGGAAAGCTCGGAGCAAATTGGGAAGGTCCTTACAAGATTACAAAAGTAGTTCGCCCAGGAGTCTACAAACTTGCGACGGTAGCTGCCGAAGCAATTCCAAGATCGTGGAATGCAATGCACCTGAAGAAGTATTATCACTAAGGCTACAACACGCTCAAATATGAACTACGAGATGACTTGATCCCTGCAAAGGGTACGTAGGCAGCCCGTCCTCGGACGGGTTCAGCTGTCCCCTCTCCTAAAAGGGGGGGGGGAGTGGGTACGTATAGACAATTTTAGCTCGTCTACTATCTCTAGGGTCATAGCCACTTCGGTCAGTTTCCCATTCGTTTTAAACCAGTTAGTTGTTTCATGTTCACCTCGGATTTTTAATTCACTTGCCACTTCGGCTAGTTTTCATTCATCACTTATGTACACTATGACTAGACTTTTACTTGTCCTTGCATCTACTTTGGCAAACTACGTTTCCAAACACCTCGCCTCGTTGCTGGCCACAGCGAGGCAACAGTCACAAAGTTCTATAAATGGACTTTTAACCACCTTTCCTAGGACGAGGGTGCAAGTTACATTCTTTTAACCATCGGTCACCACGGTTCGTCATCGCACAAGAGACTGTAAGTCGAGACTACATCGCTTTTTCTAAAACCGAATAGAACTCTTAAAACCCGGCAAACGCATTCACCCTCTCGGGAACGTCGGTCTATAACCAAACTTCGATATCGTCTCAGGACATGGACCTCGGCAACAAGAGTTCCAACCTTAGCGCCTCAAATGGCCAAAACTAAATCCAACCTAAAATACCTCCGCACTGAATCTTTCCTAACTTAGACGCCTCGGCTCCTACGGTCGAAGGCAAAAAGAACAACAACCCCTTAAATGAGTCAACCCCCAGCTGGGGTTTCAGAGTTAAACAGAATCTGTAACAGCACGTCCTTTAGTCCAGCTTTCTAGCAATCTTTCGTGACAGTTCGACCAGGGAAGCAAACAAAAGCCCCCTCGGCTCGGCTCGACAAAACCAGTTGACAACAGTTCGTCCCAGCCAATGTTTCCTCAAAAAAAACATTCATTCATAAACCTTCAAAGGCAAAAACAACATTTCCAAAAATGACTAAGGGGAAAGATGAAGGTAACCGCTTCTAAGTCAATCCACCAATAAAATCAATAGTCAAGTGGATAAAGCCGTCCAGGCACCAATTACATAAGAGTTTAAAAAACGGATAAAAGCATCCAAGCCTTTAGTACAAAAACGCATGAAGTAAAAGATGAAGGAAGGAGGAGTGAGTCAAGCCGCGGACTGCGTTTCCCGCTCAGCAAGGAGGTTCGAAAGGGCCAGTGTACCCGCATTTGATCCGGTCGGATCAACAACGCCCAGGTTAGCCGCTGTCTCCTCGATCGGTTCGTTATCCAGACCGGTGTCTACGGAGTCCGGCGACACGGGTAAGAAGACAAGCTCACCACGGAGGCAATGCGATCATACGCCTCGTCATCGACGTATTTGCTCTCCCAATCTTTTAGCTTCGCCTCCTCATCATCAAGTGTTGGGCCATCCAGTTTCCTCAGGTCATTGATCATAGCAAGATTGCCCTTGATCTGCCCCAGCTCATTCTCGTCGGTTTTAGCCTTCTTGAGCTTGGCTAGACCTTCCTCCACCTTGGCGAGGCGTTCCTGAAACTTAGCCGTCAGTTCTCGCCTCGTTTCCTTCTTCGTACGCTTGACCTTAGCATCAAACAAGGCATCTTTGGCCTCGATACGCCTCTTAAGCAACACCACCTCGGCGCTTTTGGCTCTCCTGGCCACCTCGAGGCGAATGACCGAGGCGGAAACCTTGTCGATATCAGCACGAAGAACTATCTTCTCCTCTTCCAGCCTCGACACCCTGGTCATCGCCTCGTCCAGCTTCCCCTTCGCCGCCGCGGTCTCGTTCCGAGCCTCGTCCAGGCGACGTTCGACCTTGGACAGGTCCGCCTCGTACTCAGCCATCAGCTCGTTGATGGCCGCTACAAACTGCAAGGAATAGTACGCGTTAAACACTTAAACAGAATTTGATAAAATAAGGAGAGTAAACAGAACATACCTTGGTGCCGCGTTGTGCCATCGCGCCATAAGACCTTGGTCTCCTCAGCTTCTCAGGAGGAGGAAGACGTGTGTTAGCATTGTTGACACGCGAGAACATCACCGCTGAGGCGTCTGGGTCGTCGACGACCAATTTGTGCGAAGCGGGATCGTCAGACGCCGGCTTGCGTTTCTTCTTAGGCGGCTCGTCTTTTTGAACAGCCACGCCTTTCCCTTTATCAGCGGCCGAACGTTTTTGACCGGAATCGTGCTTCTGAAGATGCGAAGCCGGGGGCCTCGATGACTTTGGAAGAGCCAAACTAGCCGAGTTGGAAGGAGTGTTATTCCGCGCCGCGGAGTCATCTTTGGGCGCCTCGGGAATGATTTCACCCGGTTCCACCTCGGGCGCCACTTCTTTCTCGTTCGCCTCGACAACGTTTGCCCCCACAGCTCGGGTCGCGCCTTCATCATCACGGCTCGGCGGATTGTCTTGAGGGACAGCCTCGGCCTTTGTTCGAGCCGCCTCAGCGGCTCGTCTCGCAGCCTCTTCTTCTTCATGCCTCTTTTTATCTCTAAGAGTAATGATCACCATTTTCTCCCTTGTGTCTCCTGAGGAATTTGAAGATGAAGAGCTAACAGGAACTCCGGCAAGAATGGCTTGCTCTCTTTCCACTCTCTCAAATGTAAAATGCTTCCTCCAATTAACTCTCCGGGCCGCGAGAGAATCTCGAACAACAAAGAGGTCGTCGGGAATTGGGGGAAGAATGCTCCGAACTGCAAAAACAACACGAAAACAACCAGCTCAGTAAGGGAAGATTATACCATAACAGTTCCGAGCCGAGGCAAAGCTTCGGCTACCAAGTGGTCCCCAAGCGGTCTTAGTTTTTTTAACGTAATCCTCACCAACTGACGCCTCGTTCACCAGGACATAGAAAAAGCGCTCGGTCCAAAACTGATCTTTGCTTGGAAAACCACCTATGATCCGGCGATTGGGCTTGTTGGAGATATAAAATCTATCTCCCTTTGGAGCTTTTCTGATCTCCAACAAGTTTAACAGATGATTCAATTCAATGTCGAGCCCGCATTCAAAGCTTCGAACTAGAATGCCGATCATGTATCGCAGACCCCTCGGCATAATCTGCCCGATCGAGATCCCGTGTTTCCAGAAGTACTCAAGGGTAACTCCGGGGATCGGAAACCAGAGAAAACAAAGCTCAAAGAACGCCTCGTACAAAGTAAAGTGATTCTCAGGGGGTTTGTCAGCTCGGTCATTCTTTTCTGGCAGGATGAATTCTACAGCCTCGGATATCCGGAAACGACATCTCCACGCCTTGAGTGAGTCGGGGGAGGAGAGCGTGGAGCTGGGCAGGTCAGGTTTTTGCCTTTTCACTCGCTTTTGTTTCCCTTGCCCGGACGAGGAAGCACCTCGGGATGCCATGAGACGTTCTAATTCAAGAGATCAAAGGGAAAAGCTTCCTCTTCAGCTTTCACTGCGGCTAAATTTTCATCTTCGTTATAAGCGGGACCCTGAGGATGGCTCGTTGAAACCGACGGCTCGTTATCTGGAGAGCAAGCACCTGATGGACTTGAGTGATTCGACGCCTCGTCGTTTTCGGATGAACGGTTGGAAGGGCTTGGCGAGACAGACGCCTCGGAAGATCCTGTTACACCTCTCACCTCGGGGTCCACACGGCTCGGCTTGTAGTTAAAGAGTGAATCTAACGAATCGTTGGAATGGTTCGACATGATTTACAGCTTGTACAAAATTACAATACTACGCGGCCAACTTTCGTCGGAAAAAGATCTAGGGCGGCGGAGACCTCGCAACCCTAGCCGGAAAATAAATAAACTAGAGAGAAAAAGAAGAGAGAAGGGAGAGCTACCTTTTAGTGAAAACGAGTGGATCTGAAGATTATGAGAAGGAACCAAGGAGCTCACCTATTTATAGAACAACCGAAGTGCGTGAAGTCCGCATGGACCTCGGGATGGCGCAAAGGCATTCAATGAGGGCGCGTGAAGTCCGCGGCGAATGCGTAACCTCCCGGCGCGTCCGTCATACACGCCAACACTCAAAATGTCTTGGAAAGAACTAAAAGCCGCTAAATGTTTCCCGTATGGAGCTGTCTAGGTGAACCGAGCCCACAACGCAACTATGGTTATCTGAGGATATCTCGTCAAGATGTGTGGACCGAACCATACTTTGCCGATACGGCTCGGCAACTTTCTTAGAAAACGCCTCGTCGCTATCGTTAAACACGAAACGGCTCGTCAACTTTCTTAGAAAGACGTCTCGTCGCTATCGTTAAACACGAAACGGCTTGGCAACTTTCTTAGAAAGATGCCACGTCGTTATCGTTAGACACGAAACGGCTCGGCAATTTTCTTAGAAAAACGCCTCGTCATTATCGAAACGGCTCGGAAACTTTCTTAGAAAAAAAACGCCTCGTCGTTATTTCTTACATGAAACGGCTCGGCATAGTTTTCACATCATCGCCTCGTCGTTATCTCAAAACATGGCTCGGCGTTAGTGATACAGCTCGGCATCCTTTTTGAAAAGATAACACTGATTTAGCATCCTCTGAGAGCGCCTTGTCATTGTTATTCCACGATAGCTCGGCTTTTTACTCGCCTCGTCGGATAAATAGCTTCGCATATCACCGAAATTGCAGCACCAGCACGACGGCTCGGTATCGTTTCAAAAACGCTCGGCGAAACTACACCATAGCAACTCAGTGAGTATGGTTAACCCTGACTTCAAAGCTTCATACCTCATCGCTCTCATCTCCGAGACCAACGAGCTGGGGGGCTAACTGTTGGGGTCGGTTTCCACCCTAGCTGAATTAACCATTTCGAAATGATTAAGTGTCGGAAGATCTCAACGAATCCGAGCTCTGTGAAGAAGCAAGCCGAGCCCATCCATGAGGCAGGATGGGTCGAGCCCTGCTATGACTGTGGGCCGAGCCCCTGAAGCAACATGGATCGAGCCGCAAGGTGATACGGGCCGAGCTGTGGGCCGAGCCGTGTAAGAAGGAGAATGGGCCGAGCCACTTCCCTCCACAATTGGGCCGAACCAAAGCCTTGAAGGACGAAAGCCCATAGAAACCCTAGGCGAAGTATCATGACGGCGGCCGCACGAAGCGATAAGGAAATATTCCGAAAATCTCTCCCGAGATTCTCGGCTAGGCGGTTCAGAGAATTAGTATAAATAGACGATTTATACAATTCATTCTGTAACTTTTCACAACTCGAGAGCAATAAAGACTAAATACTTTCACAGCAATAAAAACCCTCTTTTGATCTTACTGTTCTTGCGATTACCCTAGAAATTTAGGATCCCTTAAGTTTTCTTTACAAAATTTTCGGTTGTGCGAGCTTTGGCTCACACACTTACTTCCCAGTTTGTTGTTTCCTGCAGATTAGACATCCTCCCTGTGGATCGACACCCTAAGTCCTACAACGTACATCTGTGCACTTGCAGACACTAGAGTTTTACAAATTTAAAACTAAGGAGGACCAACGGGCTTGTTAAAAAACAACCCTAGGCCCGCACCACCATCAAGTTTTTGGCGCCGTTGCCGGGGAGGCATGAAGTCGCTGGGGAGGCATGAAGTCGTTGGAGGTCTAAACCTGGGATGTTGAAGCTGCAGACGACTATATATATGTCGAGTTTCTGCCAAAGCAACATAGGAAGTAAAACAAATTCATAAACACCCTAACTTTTTCTTTTTCTGCTCATTCTTTCTTCTGTTTGCCCTAGTTTCAGAAACTTTTGAAGTATGGATCATCCAAAGAGAAACCCTAATCCTGAGCAAAGGTCTTGCGACCTGTGTGAAGCTCCCTATGCATGTGAATCAACCTCCGGGCGTGATTTTGATCATCATCTTCGGAACCCTAATCCTAACCACCACCATGGAGACTTGCAACCTCCACACCACCGAGATGAGCCCTATTCGCCACACCTGGTGAACCGTCGACCATCTCATCCTCTTCCTCATCATATTCTGCACCAGAACTATGAGAACAGTTGACTTAACATCCTGATTAATCCATTGGAAGCCAAGCTGAATCAGTTCCTTGCCTCCCAAGCCCTCATCGATGCTGCCCTGCGAACAAGGATAGATGACGTGATCATCGGCCTTGACAAAATGTTTGATGAACTCTCTGAGCATGTGAAAACACTGGAGGATCAGAGAACCAAAGCTAATGACGTGTTGGATCAGAGAATAGAGCCTGTCAGGGAAGAACAAGACAAAAACAAGTTCAACATTCGGCAAAACGAAAGGGAGCTGCAAACCCTAACCTTTAAGATCTATGACCTGGATAAGGAGCTGAATGAGAGCAAAAACCAGACCTACGACTACACATTGGAGCTATGGCAAGGCATAGCAAAGGTTGAAAACAAGACAGAAGAGCTTGATGCTACTTTAGACAAAGTTGTCTATGCTTTGGATGAAGTAGAAGAGAAAGTTAAAAAACTTTCTAAAGATCATAAGGAGTGTGATCTGAACTCTGGAATCAATGATTTGGATACCCAAGACGAGCCTGACAACCACTGGAAACAAGAGAACAACAATGGAGAAGAAGAGATTGAAGAAGCAAGCATGGAGAGCCGGAGGGAGCTGACCACGGCTGCGAGTTCTTCACCCGCGGCCAGAGACACTCCCACCGCGGCTCCGAGCTCCTCACCCGCGGTGGAGCACTACTTCTCAGACTGGGAGAGTTTTCAGCCTCTTTCTGAAGCCTGTTCATCAGAAAACCGACCTCATGTGACCAGACCTAGGTTGTTTGACCAAACTGTCTTCTCAATCACTGCACAAGCATCAAAGGAAAAGGAAGAATCCAACACTTATGCATCTTGCAACATGGTTTACACTTGTGACAATGAACTTCAAGAGAAATTCTCAGAAGATGAAGAGTATGGTTTGTTTGTAAAAGATCCAAACCCTGGGGACGATTCATCTGATGACAACACAGAACCAATAACCAAGAGCATATCCAGAGAGACACTGATCGAATTCAACAAGTTTGTGAAGTCCATTCCTCTCTATCTCGCATTCGATGATGTCTGGAAGCAAGGCTGCCTTCAAGTCTTCTTTAGATACAGCAAGGAGACTAATGAGAACATCTCTACATATTTCAGAAGAGCCAGGTATCTATATTTTCCTAGATCATCACCTGATGCAGCTGTTTACAGGATCCATCTCAAAGATCCCCAAGAAGCCAGTGATTACACAAACAAGATCAGCAAAGAAGCACTTGAAGAGTTCAACCAAGTAGTTCAGACCCTGCCATAAGGAATTTTGTTTGCCAAGGCATGTAGAGACTACATGATAGGCCACTTCTTTTGTGACAGCAAAGAGTCTATCCAAGAGATGAAAGACTTGTTCACACACGCCCAAGAAGGTAGACCAATTCGAACTCTGCACAAAGTTCAAGACAAAGGTCAATTTCTTATCTCTTGTGACATTTGAGGTGAAAGACTCCTCAATATTCTTTGTGATTTTGGAGCTTGCATTAACATGATGTCCAAAGCAACTGCTTTGAGACTTGGCATTAAGCACATCTCAAGTACCAGGACAAAGATTAGCTTAGCAGATGATTCAAGTGCAACACCAAGAGGGATAGCCAGAGACATTCCTCTAAGGATTGGAGATTGCATTGCACTTGTCGATTTATACATAGTGAAGACCAAAGATGACTCTTGTCCAGTTATTCTTGGATGGCATTTCTTAGCAACTGCAGGAGCCATCATGGATTGGCCCAACATGCGAGTTTCCTTTGCCAATATCAACAAGGACATCTTCTATGAAGCTACACCACTTAAGAGCAAAAGAGGATAGCAAATAGCCCAGACATTTGAACCAGAAGAACTCTGGAGTGATGAAGAACCTGCAAGACAGAACAGGAGGATTTCGAAAAGGACTTGTCTTAGAACAAGATCCTATTTGAACTAAGTCTTTTTCTTTGCAAAGTCTAGCTAAGGACTATAAACCAAAGCGCTTGATGGGAGGCAACCCATTTTAGGTACTTATTAGTTTTTGTTTAAGCTTTCTTTTTCTATTAAAAGTTTTGTTTTTCTTATTTTAGACAGGCTCTAGTATGCTACTAAAACAAAAAAAAAGGAGCTGATCGCGCCAAAGGAGGTTCAGCCGCGGCCAGCATGCGTTTTACCGCAGCCAAGAAGGTCTGGCCCGCGGCCGCAATGCTCCGACCCGCGGCCAGCACAGCCGGCTACCTTGGCCACTTCCATCCACTCTTAGCCAGTTCCATCCATCCTTGGCCACATCTGTTCCACCTTGGCCACCTCCATTTCCACCTTTGGCCACCACCACCTTGTTCAAATCAGTTTTGGATCCCTAGCATCCAAGTTTGATCAAGCATCACCACCACCAGGTAAGTTTTCTTTTCCTTAAACTTTTTTTTTAAATCTTTCACATACTCTGTTTCTCATCCTTGCTTGATTTATTTCACACTGGGGGCAGTGTGATTTAAGTCTGGAGGAGGATTTCATCCCTTTCTAACCACCTTTTCTTGTATGAGTCCTTGCATTCTGCATTTTCAAAAAATTTCAATTTTTATTAAAACCTTTTCAAAGTCTTTTGAGTTTCAAAAAGTATTTTCAAAGGTCAAAAACATTTTGAGGGAATAATGACAAAATCGATGACGATAACCAACCTGTTTGCTTCTGCACCAATCCCTCATAAAAGCTCTTTCAAGGTGTAGTACTAGACTAGGCGGTAGCTAGAGTACTTGCACTACTAAATCCCACCAGAGGACTTCTATTCATGAAGATCTTTTCTGCCAGGATATACTAGCTCATTTTACTTGGACTTAATCTTGACGTAATTTTCTCATCAATGGTTTTAAGAAGGCATCATGATATACATCTAGGACATCTTTTCCTTATTGATACCACTCTTTGTTGTCCTAGATGGCCAGTTCATCTTTAGCTGGTACCACACCCTTAACCCAACCTTTATGTTCTAACCTCCTGCATTCTTTTAAGTCTAGTTTGACAGATATGTGCAAAAACGCCGGAGAGGGAGGAACAACATAGTTTTCAGTCACTCAAGAAAAAGACTCAAAAGACCACAAGGGAGTGTACCAGAAATCTTATGATGCCTCAGAAGAACTCATTTGTAAAGGTAATTTTCGAGCTCCCTAAGACTCCAAGTCAAAAGACAGTTTCCCCTTTCCAAAAAAAAAAACGAAAAAAGAGAAAAAGAAAGAAAGGAAAGGAAACTAAAAGCTTAAAGAGTCTTAGAAGCCGAAATCACTTGAGCCAAGGCAATAAGTATTCACTTGAGGAGTTATTGATTCACAACCTAGACAAAAATCCAAGTCTAGGGGAAACATAAAGAGAACCTGAAGAAAGGAGATCAGAAATCTTGAAGCAAGAAGACTGTGACTGAAACTGTGGGGGCATTTACAGTTCCATCCTCTCTTGCTGTTTTGCATAATGTCCTATCTCTCTAGAAAAAGGTAACCCTAAACACATCAGCCTTACCATAAAAAAACCTTTTTGATACTTAACCTTGAATGCCTTGTTTAATATCCTTTTGATGAGAATCACTGAAACTTTTAATGAATGTTAAGAGCTACTTTACTGGAAGTTAGTTCTAAGTGTGTAGATTTTTGCATGACGGATTAACGGACTAGATATGATTGTATTTTGGTGAGAATTTTTTAGACTTGATCTGATCGATGCATTGTCCATAATTAAGGTTTAGAAGTATGGTTGCTGATATTTTTTAGTTCCCTCCTATTTTTGTTGAATGATATTTTTCCAGATTAAATCTTGTTTTGTTTGAGGACAAACAAAGTCTTAAGTCTGGGGGAGTTGATAACACCTGATTTTGACCACTTTTCACCACTGAATTCAAATGTTTTTTCAAAGGTTTTACTTTTTTTTAGGAACTTTTATTATGATTTCCATGTATTTGTAGTTTCAAGGCTCTTTTCAGCAAACTTAGGGAATATGATGGCAAAATGGAAGAAATCCACATTTTTAGCTCAGAGTCAGACCGTCAGACGTTCAGCCTCAAATCAAGACTTTCTCACCGTCCGATCCAGCTCAAATTTGGAGAAAATAAAGAAGAGACAACCACCTTTCCATAGCAATTTACATCACAAAGATCCAACGGTGCAATCAAAAGATACATGGAGAACAAGTTGACCCAGTTCACTAGTCCCGGAAGACTCACCCGCGGCAAAAGCATGTTTTACCTTCCCTGGAAGACTCTCACCCCCGGTGGACCTTAGGACGAGCCACAAGGCCCAACATCAAAGCCCACTTTACCATTTCTCTTCAGAGAAGCCCTAAATGAGACCTGGAAGACCTCAGGACCTATAAAAACATTGTTTAGCAGCCCTAAATGGGTGTGTGCTCCTGTAATGAGATTTTGAGCCACCAAACTTTGTTTTTCTAGGGTTAGGCGATGGAGATGGGGATTCTTCCCCAGATCCATTGTTCTTCCTCCTTTTTATCTTATTAACCTTTCTGTTTTATTCTTTTACATTCTTCTATGTCTTTTATCATTCATTGCATCATGTAGATTAATCCCAGAGAGTCAAGTTGTTTGAAGATATCGACAAGCATATATATCGATTAGGATTTCTATTGTTCTTAGCCATATTCTGGATCTCATCTCTTCTAAGTTTTTCGTAAAGCATGAGAGTAGATTCATGACCTATTCTCTAAGCCTAGGATCAATAAGAGCCACGAGAGTGCTGTATCAGATCATCCGTACCTAGCTTCAAAAGAACATAGTCGCTATAGGAGTCGAAAGCTACCTATAGAGAAGATGTGAGCAGACGAATTCAATGTTCAATGCATGATCTTAAGTTTAGCATGAGAGCGAGAGTTAATTGCTAGATCTAATAGATTAGTTGATTAAGGTGACGACAGTTGGTTAATCATACATGTGTCTATTCTAGTTCAATGCAGATTCCCAGAAACAGATGAAGATAAATCGCCTGGAAGCTAATTGGAAACGTCACCATACATCGATTAGAGTAAACCGGAGAAGTCTAAATCGCCACCTATGAGTTTAAGAGTCTTTAGTTTGAGTCGATATGCTTTAGATGTTCTTTTAACAATTCATTCTGCATTGCATTTCTTGTGAATACTAGATTAGGTTTAGTTTAGGATCTTAACCAAAAACCCCAAATCTTTTATTGGTTTATGAGTTTGCTTACTTCCCAGTTTGTTTGTTTACTGCAGATTAGACATCCTCCATGTGGATCGACACCCTAAGTCCTACAACGTACGTCTGTGCACTTGCAGACACTAGGGTTTTATAAATCTAAAACTTAAGGAGGACCAACGGGCTTGTTAAAAAAAACCCTAGGTCCGCACCACCATCATTCATCTTCATTGACTGAAAACTGTGTCGTTCCTTTTCTCTCTGACATTTTTGCACATGTCTGCATATAATGTTGGAATGTGACTGTTGCACTCTTTTTCCTTTAACCATGGTTTTTCCCATTAGGTTTTCCTGGTAAGGTTTTTAATGAGGCAACATCTTTGGTCCATTTAACTCTGCATTTATTCTGCTGCCCTGATTTAAATGCAACATGCTCCTCCCTCCCCTACATGCACAAGGACGAAATTCAAAATTTTATTCTCTCTCCTTCATGCAACTCTTCTCATTTATTATTGTAACAGCTAGCTTATTCTCTATATATTTGTATTTCCTTGTACAAATCAAATTAAGAAAAATAATATACAGTTTCTCTCTATTCATTTTGTTCTACAACTCTTTCTTCTTTCTTATACACTTCTGCATAGATTTCTACATGGTATCAGAGTGCTAGATCTGTAATTTTCTAAGTTCTCATTCTCTTATTTCGTCCATCTCTCTTCACTATAAAGATCTGAGATGTAAAATTCAAAGCAAATCACTATACCTGTTATTCTCAAAGGTGATAACTATCTGTTGTGGTCTAGAACCACTAAAACAGTTCTCTGCAGCCTAGTCTATGGAATCACATCACCGGCAACCAAACAGAGTCCTCAAAGAGCCAAGATAAGGGCAAAAATGTGGTGGAAGATGAAGGGTCAAATACTGTCATCATCGAAACTATGAGCCCAGACGAATCTAAATGGTTTCAAGAGGATCAGATGGTGCTTTCTATTCTCCAGAGCTCTCTTGAGCAATCTATCCTTGTTGCTTACTCATTCTCTGAAATAGCAAAGGAATTATGGGACACCCTCAAAGGTGTTTATGGAAATATTTCAAATCTCAGTCGCATCTTCGAAGTTAAGAAGGCGCTGAATACTCTTCAACAAGAGGAGAAGCCTTTCAAGCAGCATTTTGGTGAATTCAGGGCTCTCTGGTCTGAACTTGAAACTCTTCGTCCTCCTACAACAGATCTTGCTACTCTCAATGAAAGATGTGAGCAAGATCAGGTGTTTGGGGTCCTCTTCACTCTCAACAGCTCATTCAATGGTCTCATCCATCATATTCTCAGATCGGACAAGCTCCTAAGCCTAAATGATGTGTGTATCCATATCCAAAAGGAGGAAGGATCCGTAGGTCTGTTTGGTAAGAAGAGTGATCTTGTCTACATCAACAAAGGTATTTATCAAAGGGTCGATCGCAACAAGTTCCTGTGTGAGCACTACAAAAGGAAAGGACACCCCAAAGACAAATGCTGGATCCTTAACTCACATCTCAAGCCTTCAAATATGCAGAGCTCGGGAAATGCTTTATCTGCATCAACTACTGAAGATGACATGGTGAGGAGGTCTAATCTTGAATCTCTTCTCAAAAGCATTGCTCCTCTCAAGGAATCTGGTATTGCGTTTCATTCCCTTAAACCACATAAACCTATTATCGTTGATTCTGGTGCATCTCATCATATGATTTGCGATTCAAAACTAATTAAAGATATTAAACCTGCAATTGGCGATGTTGTTGTTGCAAATGATACTCGTGTTCCTGTGAAAGGAGTTAGTAATTTGAATCTGTTTAACAAAAATTCTAGAGCATTCTATATGCCTGATTTCAATTCAAATCTATTATCTGTTCAAAAGGTTACTAAAGATCTTGATTGTTTGGCTATTTTCAGTCCTAATGATCTTTGGTTTCAGGATACTAAGTCAGGAAAGATTTTCGGAGACGGATCTGTGAAGACTGGTCTCTATGTTCTCGATGATCTTCATAATACTTCTAATACTTCTACTTCTACTAATGTTTCTGAAAACTCTAACTCTTTTTTTGGTTTCTTGTGTTGCGAATAATGTAATTTGGCATGCTATAGTAGGACATCCTCACACTAAAGCTGTTAAGATTCTGCTTTCTAGTGTGTCTTTTGAGAATGATAAGTGTGAAGCTTGTATCCTAGGAAAACAATTGCAAAACTGTTTTTCCAAACTCTTCTTCTACTTAAGAGAATTATTTTGATCTTATTCATTCTGATGTGTGGACTTCTCCCTGTGCTACAAGAGATCAATTCAAGTATTTTGTCACCTTTATTGATGAAAAGTCAAAATACACTTGGCTAACACTTTTACCTTCAAAAGGCCGTGTTTTTGAAGCTTTTTCAAAATTTTACAGCTTCATTTCAACACAATATAATGCTAAAATCAAGAATTTGCGGACTGATAATGGAGGTGAATACATCAGCAATGAGTTCAAAGCTTTCACTGTTAAGCTTGGGATCGTGCACCAGACATCTTGTCCCTATACTCCCCAACAAAATGGTGTAGCTGAGCGCAAGAACCGTCATCTTATGGAAGTGGCTAGGACCATGGTGTTCCACAAAAATGTCCTAAAACACTTCTGGGGTGATGCAGTTTCTACCGCCTGCTATCTAATCAACCGACTTCCAACCAAATGTCTTAAAGACATATCACCTTATGAGGTACTCAATAAATTAAGCCACATTTAGATTTTCTAAAAGTTTTTGGGTGTGTTTGTTATGTCCATGTTCCAGATTTCCATAGGAATAAACTCCAACCTAAAAGCATCAAGTGCATCTTCGTCGGATACTCTACGATACAGAAAGGCTACAAGTGTTACAATCTGGAAACAAGAAAAACATTTGTCTCTCGTGAAGACAAATTTGATGAAGAAAAAAGGTTCTATGAAGAAAAAGATTGGTAAAAGCTAAAAGACTTGGGTTCTTCTGGTTCTGATCTTGCCCATAGCCTGAGGCTCCTACTTGAAAACCTCAACCTACCCAAGACAACTGAAGCGGTTCAGCCATCCTCTTTACCACAATCTGAAGAAAGTGAATTTAAGGAGGAGTTAGATCAAGTCGAATCCAATGCCGACGAACAAGAGATGGTGATTGATCATGTTGACAATCAAAACCAGAGTACAGCCCTTCCTCAAAACATCTCTGCAAATTATGAGTCTCAAGACAACAATGGTGTATCGGATGATGCTGATCAAGAAGACACCAGCAAAAACCTTGATGAGGAGACTGCTCAAAATCCGAATATGGAGACTGCCATCCACGAAGCTGACTCTCCTCCTCCCAGACTTGGATTTTTGTCCAGGTTGTGAATCCATAACTCCTTAGGTGAATACCTATTGCCTTGGCTCAAATGATTTCGGCTTCTAAGACTCTTTAGGCTCTTGGTTTCCTTTCCTTTCTTTCTTTTTCTCTTATTTCATTTTTTTTTTTTGATAAAGGGGAAACCGCCTTTTGACTTAGAGTCTTAGGGAGCACGAAAATTACCTTTAAGAATGAGCTTTTTGAGACATCATGAGGCTTGCTGAAGTTGCATGGTACACTTCCTTCCCGGTTTCATTCAGTCCTTCTCTTGAGTGACTGAAAACTATGTTGTTCCTTCCTCTCAAGCGTTTTTGCACATATATGTCGACATAGACTTAAAAGAGAGTGTATGAGGTTAAAGGTTTGGGCTAAGGGTGAGGTACCAGCTAAAGATGAACTGGCTATCTAGGACAACAAAGAGTGGTAACAATAAGGTAAAGATGTCCTAGATGTATATCATGATGCATTCTTAAAACCATTAAAGAGAAAATTAGATGTCAAGATTAAGTTCAAGTAAAATGAGCTAGTATATCCTGTCAAAAAAGATGTCCATGAATAGAAGTCTTCTAGTAGGATTTTGTAGTGCAAGTACTCTAGCTACCGCCTAGTCTAGTACTAAACCTTGAAAGAGCTTTTTATGAATGATTAGTGTAGAAGCAAACAGGTTGGTTATCATCGTCGATTTTGTCATTATTCCCTCAAAATGTATTTGACCTTTAAAAACACTTTTTGAAACTCAAAATACTTTTGCAAAGTTTTAAGAAAAACCGAAAAAAATGAAAAGTTTTAAAGAAAAATGCAGAATGCAAAGGCTCATGCAAGAAAGATGGTTAGAAAGGGATTAAATCTTCCCCCATACTTAAATCATATTGTCCCCAGTGTGAAATAAATCAGGCAAGGATGAGAAATAGAGTATCTGAGAATTTAAAGATGAAGGGAAAGAAAAACATACCTAGTGTTGGTGATGGGTTGTGGAGGTGGTAGGATATTGAATGGTGGATGGTGGATGATGTGGAGTGGTGCTTGATCAAACTTGAATTGATTTGAATCAAGGTGGAGATGGAAGTGGCCAAGGGTGGCCGGATTTATGCTGGTCGCGGTTCAGAGTGTCGCGGCCATGGTAGGACGCTTGCTGGCCGCGGCAAAACCTCTTCTGGCCGCGGCAAAGCCTCTTCTAGCTGCGGCAAAACCTCTTCTGGCCGCGGCTGAAAGCTCCTTGGCTGCGGTCAGCTCATTTTCTTCTTCTCTCTCTTTTTTTTTAGATGCATACTAAAGCCTGTCTACAATAAGAAAAACAAAACTTTAATAGAAAAAGAAAGTTAAACAAAAACAAATAAGTACCTAAATAGGTTGTCTCCCATCAAGCGCTTTGGTTTATAGTCCTTAGCTAGACTTTGCAAAGGAAAGACTTAGTTCAAATAAGATCTTGTCCTAAGACAAGTCTTTTTCGAAATCCTCTTGTTCTCTCTTGCAGGTTCTTTATCACTCCAGAGTTCTTCTGGTTCAAATGCCTGAGCTTTATGCTTTCCTCCTTTGCTCTTTAGTGGTGTAGCTCCATGGAAGATGTCCTTGTCGATATTTGCAAAAGAAACTCTTCGGTTGGGCCAAGCCATGATGGCTCCAGCAGTTGCTAAGGAAGGCCATCCAAGGATAACTAGATATGAGTCATCTTTGGTCTTCACGATGTATAGATCGACATGTGCTATGCAATCTCCAATCCTTAGGGGAATGTCTCGGGCTATCCCTCTTGGTGTTGCACTTGAATCATCTGCTAAGCTAATCTTCGTCCTGGTACTTGTAATGTGCTTAATGCCAAGTCTAAAAGCAGTTGCTTTGGACTTCATGTTAATGCAAGCTCCAGAATCACAAAAAATATCTAATGTCACAAGAGATAAGAAATTGACCTTATTCTTGAACTTTGTGCAGAGTTCAAACTGGTCTTTCTTGTGGATAACCTGGTGCTTCAAATGCATAATAAGAATCACAATAGAACTTTGCTGCATCGAAACTGATGATTGAATCAATGTATGGCATTTCAATCCTCTTAGGTGATTCATCCTCCAAATCTATGATGTCTGGTTCACTTTCTGTAATCATCATGCATGGGATGTGAGAGTGATGTTCATCAGCATCTTTAGGGACTTGGTGTTGCAAGCCTTGGGAGAAAGGGCGGTCCTCCGCGGGTGAAAGCGTCGCACCCGCGGCCAAGTGTCTTTCCGCCGCAGGTGAACTTCTCTTGGCCGCGTTGGGACCCTCCGAAGGCTGCTCATCAGCTGCTCCTTCCTCTTGCTCATCCAGGATATCTTCAGGGCTATTCTGGGTGTCCATTGTAGGATCTCCTGCATCAGAATTGGTTGATCCTCCATCTTTTTGCTGACCATGGACAAGAGAATCCTTCTTATGATTCTCAAAGATCTTCTTCACCACAAGGTTTGTGTCTCCTTGGCACTTAGAGAGATGCTTTATGTCAGAACTGGTTTCTTTGCTCTTGTGCTCAAGCTGCTTAGGCGAAATTCAATCTCTTGAAGTTCACCATCTGTTCTTCCTCTGTATCATGAAGCAATTTTGTTGGCCTCCTTGATCTCTAGCTTGGCAGCCTTGACATCGATGGATCCTTGGAGGATATCATACTTATGTCCTGGCTGCTCTTCCTCAAAAGCTTCTATCTTCCTTTTTATGGCAGAAATATCCTTAGAGTGCAGATCTTCCAGCGATTTCACATGGTGGGTGAGATCATGGATCCTCTTGTACAGGGTAGCTTCCGTAACAACTTGGAATTCAAGGTATTGATTCAGCATAGCTTCTAATCGATTCAGTTGGAGCCTAAATCGATCAGCCTCGGCATTCTGGTGCAGAATCTGATGAGGTAAGGGATGAGATGGTCGACGGTTCACCAGGTGTGGGAATAGGGCTCATCTCGGTGGTGTGGAGTTTGCGAGTCTCCATGATGATGGTTCAGATTATTCAGCCGAACAAGATGATCGGAATCACGCCTGGATGGTGATTCACATGCGCAGGGAGCTTCACACAGGTTGCAAAACCTTTGCTTGGGATTAGGGTTTCTTCTCGGATGATCCATGCTTCAAGGATTCTGAAACTAGGGCAAGCACAAGAAATAATAAGCAGAAAAGGAAAAAGTTAGGGTGTTTATGAGTTTGGTTTACTTTCTATGATGTTTTGGCAGAAACTCGACATATATATAGTCATCTGTGGCTTCAACATTCTAGGTTTAGACCTCCAGCGACTAAAAACCTCCCCGAAAACGGCGCCAAAAAACCTGATGGGTTGCGGACCTATGGTTCGTTTTTTAACAAGCCTATTTGTCCTCAAAAAGTTTTAAATTTATAAAACCTTAGTGTTTGCAAGTGCATAGATGTACGTTGTAGGACTTAGGGTGTCGATCCACAGGGAGGATGTCTAATCTGCAAGAAACAACAAATTGGGAAAGTAAGCAAAGTCATAAACTCATGGGATTTTGGGGTTTTTTTGGTTAAGAATCCTAAACTAAACCTAATCTAATATTTACGGCAAACTAAATGCAATGCATAATAGAAAAAGAAATCTAAACAGGAGCAAATAAGTACCTAAATGGGTTGCCTCCCATCAAGCGCTTTGGTTTATAGTCCTTAGCTAGACTTTGCAAAGAAAAAGACTTAGTTCAAATAGGATCATGTCCTAAGACAAGTCCTTTTCGAAATCCTTCTGTTCTGTCTTACAGGTTCTTCATCACTCCAGAGTTCTTCTGGTTCAAATGTTTGGGCTTTATGCTCTCATCTTTTGCTCTTAAGTGGTGTAGCTTCATAGAAGATGTCCTTGTCAATATTGGCAAAAGAAATTCTCCTGTTGGGCCAATCCATGATGGCTCCAGCGGTTTCTTAGAAAGGCCATCCAAGAATAACTGGATAAGAGTCATCTTTGGTCTTCACTATGTATAGATCGGCAGGTGCAATGCAATCTCCAATCCTTAGAGGAATGTCTCGGGCAATCCCTCTTGGTCTTGCACTTGAATCATCTGCTAAGCTAATCTTTGTCCTGGTACTTGAGAGATGCTTAATGCCAAGTCTCAAAGCAGTTGCTTTGGACGTAATGTTAATGCAAGCTCCAGAATCACAAAGAATATTGAGGAATCTTTCACCTCTAATGTCACAAGAGATAAGAAATTGACCTTTGTCTTGAACTTTGTGCTGAGTTCGAACTGGTCTTTCTTGTGGATGATCTGGTGCTTCAAATGACAAAGCAAACAAGAGAAACTAAACAAGACTCAAATTCAAAATAAAGATAAAGCTAAACTTCTAGATGTGATCATTGATCAGGGTGCTTTCAATGCTTATTTCATGATGCTAAGCAAACAATGCAACACTTGCAATTCTTTAGTCTAGACTTCCAATTCATATTAACTCATTCCCATGACAGAAATCCCTTTGTTAACTACTTAATCAAGACTAATTCCTATTAGTGAATAAACAATTAACAAGCATAAGGTTCCAAGTCTAATATGACCAAACAGCCTCTTTGTGCATCAAAATAAGAGCTAAGAAAGACTGAATCTTATACAGAAAGATAAAGCAAACATCTCATGATCGCAAATTCCAATCAACTTAGAACTCAAAGCAAGATCATTTCTTTCTCAAGACAATGACCACTATACTAATCAGCATTCCAACCTAACTCTCATTAGTGGTAATGATGATCAATATGCATTTATAAACAATTCTAACATGTCATTTATGCTTCAAACAAACATTCCCATGGCATTCAAAACATAAACCCTTAAGTTAGCTCATTCAAGCATTTCATCAAACACCTTGTGGATGGAGAAATGCCTATGAACCCGGATTTCACTTTCTCAAGGAAATAAGGCATTAAGAGCAGCTAACTAAGAAAGGAAATGAGAATCTAGAACCTAAAGATCATAAATTAAACATCTCAGCACCCTAATCTTCACACCTAGAAGCTAAAAAGAAGACTACTCACTAATCATGATGAACACACCATTTCCTTTGCAAGTGGTGATGTTAATCATGATTAGAAGTAAAGATAAGAAGAAGAAATGATAAGAAACAGCCTGAATTGATCAAAAACGAGGTATCTCTTAACAAAGAACAAAGGTTTTCACCAAAGAGACAAAGAAACAAAGAGAATAAAGCTTAGTCTGCAGGATAATGCCTAAAACATATATATAGGTAGGGTTTCTTGATGGGCCAACCTAGAAAAAACTAGGTATTGGTCCCAAAAAGGCCCAGAAAAACGTCTTGGATCGAGAGTGTATCGAGGTGAAAGTGGTCGGTGCAGGACCTCGGTGTGGCTCTGAGAAAATCTTAAAAACAAATACCGACCAAACTTCTCTCAGTGTGGCATCTCGGTGTAGTTTTAAGAGTTGCTTCAGGGATCAATACCGAGTAGAACTCGGTCGGTGCAGCATCTCAAAATTTTTTCGGCTCTTTGAGCTCCCAAAGGCCAGCCAAAAACGTCAAGGCTCCAAGGTCATATCGACCAGATTTCGGTCGGTATTTCTTCTCAATATGAATATAAACCGCTTGCACTAAATCCTTCATAACTCCTTTCTCAATGGTCAAAACCTTGATCTATCAACTCCATGAACTATATGACTCATTCAGCTCTAACTTTTCTGAAGGGCTCAAACCCGTCTGACGTCGGCAAGGCTTCCGTCTCGCCGGTTCTTTGAGGCGCATCGCGTAAGTCATTATCGGCCCGTGAGACATATGTTCCTTCTGATTGCGATATCTCCCAGCTCACGGCTCCAAATCGTCTGCTTCTAAGTGTTCCGGAAAATAGACTCATTTCTATTGATTCTTGATGATGACACCGGAGGCTGAATCGCAGTGCAAGTATTTCGTCTCACGCGATCAAAGTAGAGGTGTTGTCCGCTCCAAAGCATTTGTCCAAGTTGCTGTACACTGGTGAGGGTTCCTCCATGATCCCAGCTCCAAGTCGCTCCCAAAAGTCTCCAAATGATCTGAGAACACTCCAAAAATGCAGGACACTCTAGGACTTAATGCATTCCCTAAACAAAGCTAGAACCAAAGACAAACTTTATCAAAACTATCTAAATGTATGTACGAAACTCAATATTTAGACAAAAAATGCAATCCTAAACATGGCAAAATATGAGTATATCAGTGGGCACATAAATTAAGATTGTATTAACACTAATCAGTACTATTTCATGTAGTTGAGGTACGAATAACTGTTTTCGTGTTATTATTTTGAAATGATAAACTTTAAATTTAAAATCAAGCTTGTACTGGGCAAAATTCAGAGATATTACAGTTCAATAACAAAAGCTTGTACTTGGCAAGCCACAATAGAAACGGTAAACTTTTTCAACTATCATTCAAAAATACTAACGATAAAAACAAAATTACTAATCAATTTCCAATTCTAAAGATAAAGTTATTGAACAAAAAAAAAGAAAAATGTAAATTTTGATGAAAAGAAAGATGATGTCAAAAAAATAAATAATAAAAATAAAAAATAAAAGTTAATAAAATAGGAAAAATTAAATATTAACAATGGAAACAAATAATCTTAAAAATAGATTACTATAAAAAGAAAATCTAACAATTTGAAAAATTAATTACCGTATCATAATAATAAAAAATAAAATTACTAAATAAAAAAATACAAAATTTAAATAATTTATCATAAATTTTTATTTTTATGGATATTTTTAATTGTTTTTCCATGGAATATCTAGAAACTTTTTTTCACATGTTATCAAATACTTAATCATCAATCCATATATATGCGGATCCTAATATAGTATATATATTAGAAAATAGAAAATCCATGGTATTCCGCCATTAACCGTGAACCATGGCAAAGATTTGCTACATCCACGAACAAATAAGTCGAGGTGAAGATAAGTTACCCAACTAGGAAAACTAGATGATATTCGATCAGCTAACATGATCAAACTCTTGCTTCGTAAGAACTCTCTCAAACCAAGATCGAGACTCTATTTCAATGGTGAATGATCATTTGCTTCTCATTATCAACCAATATGGAAACTATATGTGCCAATCAGAAATTAAACATATCTGGTGGAGAATCCTACATAATGCCTTTCCTATTGCAGGACCCTTTAAGTGGAAGAAATTAAAGATATACATACATTTAATCTAAGTCAAGAAGAAGGTCATGTTCGTTTGCTCATCTGTCATTTGCATCTAGATGATCCATTTAAATGATTTATCTGATAAGTCATTTGAATGATGCAAATGACAAATGAGCAAACGAATATTAAATGAGCAAATGACAAATGAGCAATGAACCATTGTTTGTTTGGGAAAACGAGATTTTATGTTTTTTGAAGGAAAAATGAGATTTTATGTTTTTTTTACGGTAAGATGAGATTCAAGTTTTTGACAGGAAAACGAGATTTTATATTTTTTGACCGAAAAACGAGATTTTATGTTTCTAACGGGAAAACAAGATTTTACATTTTAATGGCAAAATGAGATTTTATGTTTTTAATGAGAAAACAAGATTTTATGTTTTTTACAAGAAAACGAGTTCTACGTTTTTTTATGGTAAAATGAGATTTTACGTTTTTTACAGAAAAACAAGATTTTACGTTTTTGACGGAAAAATAAAATTTTATGTTTTTGACAGGAAAAAGAGATTTTAAGTTTTTGACGGAAAAACAAAATTTTACATTTTTGATCGGAAAATGAGATTTTATGTTTGTAACGGAAAAACAAAATTTTACGTTTTTGATGGGAAAATGAGATTTTACGAAAAAACGAGATTTTATGTTTTTGACGGGAAAATAAGATTTTATGGAAAAACAAAATTTTATGTTTTTGACTGGAAAATAAGATTTTACGTTTTTATGGGAAAACAAGATTTTACGTTTTTGATGAAAAAACGAGATTTTACGTTTTTAACGGGAAACGAGATTTTACGTTTTTAACGGGAAAACGAGATTTTATGTTTTGGCGGAAAAACAAAATTTACATTTTTGGAGGGAAAATGAGATTTATATTATTACAAGAAAACATAATTTTAAGTTTTTGGCGGAAATCTGGCAGAGAAATGGAATTTTAAGTTTTTACGAAAAAACTTGATTTTACATTTTTGACGGGAGATATGAATTTATATTTTTGACTAATTTTTTTTTTCTATATTTTTAATAGAAATAAAATTTTAAGTAAACAAAATTTTTTTTTATCAATATTTATTATTTGTTTGTATTATTTATTAATTTTTGTTAAGTATATTTTTATCATTTAATGTTTTAGACTGAATCATATTCATCCAGATGATTCAAATAGAATCAGTTGGATGAGTTTAAAATTTCTTCATAAATTTATAAGTCATTCAGATGATCCATCTAGATGATCTATTAAAATAAGTGGATTAGTGCAATTAAACGAACATCATTTGATTGCTTTATCTCGATGATCCATCCAGATAAGCAAACAAACAGGCCCAAACTAGAGTGTCAATCGTCTAATCTTCCAATGCGGATCAGCATAGAAATTTGGGAGGTCGCACAACATCCAAAACCATCAAGGGATAACCTAAATAATACTATTCAAGATATTGTAGTCTACATAAGTAACTCCTAATGATGGCTCCAAAAAGAGGAACATGCCTCGTTCCATTGATAAAATATGGAAGGTGTTGAAAGGGCCCGGCTTTGAGGGCAGGCGAGGGAGGCGACCGCCACGGGCATCCACTCTAAAAGGGGCATATTTTTTGCGGCATCCATTATAAATGGGCATATTTTTTATCTATGCCCTTTTATAAACAAACTTTTGATCCATAAGATGTATTGTATTTATAGCCCCAAAAACCTGACTCCCAAACTCACTAGATAAAAGAAAATCTAAATCTAGCTCAATAAGGAAACCGTACCGTGGGGGCCTTCGCCCCCACACCCCCCCAAGTGAATCCACGTCCATCTATGGTCCGTTACATTCTTCAGTTCGCTGTAGCAGGGTATCTTTAGTTATCTTTGTCACCGAAACAACAAATGGGTTAGCTTATTATCAACTGAGATAGCTATTTGAAAAACTCGACTACGACAATTTAATGAACAATTTTACACGAAAAAAATGCAAAAAGATCTATATTTCAGCAAAAAACTATATGTTTTATTGGATTTTTTTCTTTTCTTATAAACTGTTTATGGAGTTTGATTGTTTTATGAAGTTTTTGTTTCATTTTTTTTATTATTTTAATTTTGAAAAAAAAATATAAAAGGGCATATTTTAAAAAGTTAGACGCGGGCATCCAAATTGATCGGTCCGGCACTTGAATGACCTTCTCTTTGAGGATAAGATATGATCAGTTTGAGATATAATCAATAAAGCTGATGGGACTGATTAATTGTTAATTTTATTGTTAACTAAATCTTTTCATTTATGCTTAATCATAGGACCAGTAGTCTCCACTCTCCACTTCCCTCTTCCCACTTTCTTATCTCCTTCTTTGTAGGATCGATCAATTGTTTTCCTTTGTGTATTTAAAGACCTCATGGTCAAGATAATGATCAGATTGAAAATTTGCCAAAGAAATTGTGTTGTGTTGTTCTTATTGTGTTCTTAGTGTTCACAATCTCTTAGTTCTGAGGAGGGACCTATCAATGGTATCAGAGCAGTTTTTCATCCTTGTTGACGGCATTCTTCGCGAATCAACGTCATCAAAACTATCTTTTTATTTTTTGCTTCAAACCCCCAAACATCATTCACACACACCCACAAAAAAAAAAAAAGAAAGAAGAGTGGTCGTGGCTAAATAGAGAGCGAGAATCCATGGAGTTATACAACAACATCTATGGGCCTCCAATCTTTGATGTCTACAACGACGACGAAGAAGCAATCTTTGATGGCGGAGAGTCATCAATGGTGGTTCTTCATGCAGGCGTGAAGGAGGCGTTCGTTGCTCTTGGAGATGAGTTTCACGAAGAGGTGATGAATATGGTGCAATATTGGGAGGAAGGAGCAGCAACGTGGAGTAAGAAGATGAAGACGGTGAGGAAGCCAAACCGGCTGGCCAAAAGCATCATGAAGATAGCCATGGTGGAGACTCGAACAGAATCTCGACACTTGATGACTTCGTCATTCAAACTACCGGTGACTTCACCACCAAAATGTCGACCTTACCATGCTCCAGCCAGAAAACGAGAAAAGCTTAGACCATGGAAACATGATTTGTTTCTAGCGAGTATTAACTGGAAACGACCATTCGATCGTGGAAGAAGCAAGAAGATGCACAAGTTTTTTCTTAAGAACCTTGAGGACAAGGTTCTCTTTGAGGATGAGTGTATTGATGGGACTGATTAATTGCTAATTTTATTGTTAACTAAATCTTTTAATTTATGCTTAATCATAGGGCCAGTAGTCTCCACTTTCCACTTCCTTCTTCCCACTTTCTTATCTCCTTTTTTGTAGGATCGATCAATTGTTTTCCTTTGTATATTTAAAGACCTCATGGTCAAGATAATGATCAGACTGAAAATTTGCCAAAGAAATTGTGTTGTGTTGTTCTTATTGTGTTCTTAGTGTTCACAATCTTAGTTCTGAGGAGGGACCTATCAAAAGCCAACATTGACCTTAAATCATGGTCGGAAGCTGCGCGTGCTGAACAAATCCTCCGAATGACAAGAGTGGACCAAAAAAGATGCAATGTAAAAACAAAAAACTACAAACACTTCAAGAAGCTATATCAAAATCTAACACATTTTATTGTCGTGTAGATAGTTCTTGGATATTTTCCGATAGGTTTTCGATGGTCGATCCAAAACAAAGAAGAAATGCAAATACAGTAATAATTAGTTTGACGACAAAAAAAAGGCAAGAGAAAAAAAGAATTCCTATCTCCCGTTCTCGCGCCACCGACATCGGTTTCTACTTTCTTTGACTTAAGCGATCGGAACAGAAACAAACAACGACATTGATTCAATATATTTACGATTCGGACATATATTAGTTCCAATATTGTCTTAAGACGATTCGTTAGAAAATTCAACTTCATCGATCGAAAACCCTAGCTTCCTTCTCAGTCCTCTCTTTCCTATGGATCTCTTCAAATCAGTTCTCTCCGAATACGATCATCAACAACGACCCGATTCACCTGATTCCACTCCTCTCGACGATCCCACAACTTCTTCTTCTTCTTCATGGAGCTTCGGAAGTCTGATCAAAACCCTGACAACCAAATCCGAATCCGTAATCGGATCCTACCGTCATGATTTCCAGGAATTCGGATCCGAATTAAAGAAAGAAACCTCCGTGATCCGACGAGTAGCTTCTCGTGCCGTCAAGGACTTACCTGACTCTCTCGAAATTGGCGCCTCCGTCGCTCAAGAGTCTCTCGAATCGGTTGGTCAAGCGATCGACGATATCGGCGCCACAGTTTGGAAATCAACGGCTAAGATCATTTCTCATGGTAAGGAATCTCTGTTATCTTCTTCACCGGAAGATTCCGATAATCGTAGAAATCATCATCAGGGCTTTTCTGTGAAACCGTATAGTCGATTCGAGATGCAATTGCTTGCGATTCAATCTGATAAAGGGACGTATGTTAGAGAACCAGATGATTTTGAGGATTTTGAGAATTGGATTTTAGAGTTTAAGTTAGAGGCGAAAGAGGGTAAGATTGTTGATTTAATCAATGAAAACAAAGCTGTGAAAGAGATTTATGAGGAGATTGTTCCTGTGGAAGTTGATGCTGAAACTTTCTGGAGGAGGTATTACTATAAGTTGCATAAACTTGAGCAAGTAGAAGAGGCTAGAGTTAAGCTTGTGAAGAGAGCTATCTCTGGAGAAGAGGAGGAGGATTTGAGCTGGGATCTCAATGATGAAAGCGATGAAACCTGTGGCGAGTCTTTACTGATTCCGGTCTCAGAAGGAAAATGTTCAGACACTGAGACTAGAGGTTCAGTGGAGGAAGAGAAGTTTGAGAGCAGAGAAGTGTCGTCTAAGGACAGCGATATCTCGATGATTTCGACACAGCCGTCGTTACCTGAGGTTGAAGATCTTGGGTGGGATCAGATGGAAGAAGATATCAGATGTAATGAGGATAAGAGTTTGGAAGCTGTTCAAGGGTCTGAGGAGAAAACTGATTGGCGAAGACGGGTAAGTGTAGCAGAGGAAGAAGAGGATTTAACTTGGGATATTGAAGATGAAGATGATGAGGACTCTGTTAAACAATAAACAAGAGTAGTAGTTGTGTTATAGTAAAGGTAAGATTTGGAGTCAAAGTGTGATCATAAGTCTGTAAGTTATCAATGCTGAAGACAATGAGTCTGCTAAAACTCGAATCTTCTGTGTTCGTCAAACAAGCAGAAACGGGCTGCTACATATCTATCTGTCTTGTTCAGTGACGGGTAAAAGAGTGAATACGATTCTTCCTGAACGTGCATACTCACAATAATTTGTATAATACTCTTGATCCAGTGAATATAAACGAATTTGTACAATACTTTAAATATGTCACAACTCAAAGAACAAAACAGTTGTTCAAGGAACAAGTTAGCATTCATTAAGTGAATCTTCTTTGAATATAATGCGACATTATAATATCAGTAATTTGTTTTTGTTATTGAGTAGTGTATATTCTGCACTTTTGATAAGATCTCACATCTTTCTATCTATCTATATTGAATAACAAGAAGAGCCAATCTTAGGTGGAGTAGCGACTGCGAATGTAGAGGAACAAAGCCGTGGATGCAGCCGCAATATACGGGAAGATTGTCCATATTCCCTGCAGAAAAATTGGAACCGAACTTGTGTCAATGGATCAAAGCTATTCACCATCTGTTTTGTCTCTCTCTCTCGCTCTACTTACCACTGCAGTTGCTACTGTTGCAACAGCAAACATGGGGCGTTCTCTAAGGAGAAACCCAATCACAAGCTGAAACATTTGTTAGAATTAGAACACTCTAGTTAGTCTCAGATTAAAGATGTAACAAAGAATCGAATCAAATGTAAAGAATAGCAGATAAACCTGAATTGGAAGAGTAATCAAGCCGCCGCAACAAACTCCTGCAAAGAAACATTCTGGAGATATTCCCTGTAAAGATTCATGTGGATAGGTTTGAGTAACCACTTGCTACATATTTGAATCCATTCCACAACAGACTTACAAGAGCTCCGGCCAAGAATGCTGTAGGATTCCTCACTCCGAGAGAAAATCTTTCCACTGTATTCAATGTTCATAGAATCAAACATTAGTTAAGATATAATATAGTCATTCACATTCTAGATAATCTACCCACTGCATTCAAATTGTAACTTACCAAAACCTGACAGGTTTCCGTATTTTTGGACGGCCTGAGTGATACTCACCGCTTTCTCTTTACCTATACCGAGCTTTATATCGAAATGCCGGTACCAGAAAACAATCAGCTTTTGGGAAGCAAATTCTAATTGGAAAAACAACAAGAATGGATATCACCTAAGGGAAAGTAACCTTTGAACAAACATCATCTGATCCTCCACTTTGTCTGAAGAGCTTCCCAAGGTAAAACGGTATCATATCACTTATACAAACTCCCCTTTCAAGTTGCCAACATAAACACCAATGAATAAAGCTGGTGGATGACCATTAAGAACAAAGGAGGCTATGTTATTTTAACCAGAAATATTTCTTTTACCAGTAAACCCATGAAATGGTAGACATTATATAAGGAGCATTCCGAGAGAAAGACTCAGCAAACGATTGCCATGTCCCATCCAGAGTTAACATTCGAGCCAATGTTATCCCAACCTGTGCATTTAACATTTACAAGAAACTGTCATCAAAACGAAAACTCATTAGAAGCATTTTAATGCAGCAGAATCCAAAACGATGAAAAGGAAGACGAAACAGAAGTACCGCTGTAAACCACAGACCCATATGTTTAGAGCCTCTTCGCTAATAAAAAGCCCGAACCCGGCTGCCATCAGCAACCAAAAGTAAACCCATCTGTAGAAAGAAAGACACTTGAGCAGCTAAAAAAGGTACAATCTTTTTTCATAAGGAAGATTAACTACGAGTAGTGTTATGGCTATACTGTTACATTACCCCGGCGCATTCGCTGGAATTATGAATCTGTTTCCAAAAGCATTGAAAGTAAAGCCTTCTGAAGATGATGAAGCTTTGGCCAGACTCTTAACCTCAAAAGCTGAACCACCAGAGCCTTTCAAAGTTACACATATTACTGTAATGGTCAGAGCCAAGGCTAACCCTACACCTAACTTTGCTATGAATGGGGCACTCTTCTTTTCAGAAACTATTGCGTTTTCAGTTTTAAGTATAACATCGACGTTTGGTTTCTCCTCTTCACTATCTTGAGACTTTTCAGAGTCATTATTGCCGATATTATCTTTCTCAAAACTTCTCACTCTGATCCTGTCACAGCATAAGCAATTAAGCATCAAACTAAGACATCTTTTTACTGATTCCAATCAAATTGAAACTACTAATATGCTATGTCTTCCTACTCCAGAACTGTTTACATGATTCTAGTTGCAAACTAAATAAAAAATTCAAACTTTCTTTTCTTCAAGATCAAATTCCATAAAAGAATGCCCAAATTTCACAATCAGAACATATGTAATCCTTTCTACCCTGCCCAAACTAAAAATGATCGAGATTCCATGGGAGATGTAATAATTATCACGAAGTAAACCTGTAAGAAGAAGACTTGAAGAGCCTTGACAAGGAGAAGCTTTCTGCAGAACCGAACAATACTCTGCTCCTCAAGACAACAAGGTTATGTTTAGGAAGTTTAAAGGGAAACCCATTAACCGGAAACGCCATGGAAGAAAACATTTTACGGATTCTACAATTTTGGTTCGAATATGGAGAGGAGAAGAAGAACAATGTGTGAGTTTTGGTTGTATGTGACTCTGAAGATACGCATATCCCGGATAAAAATAGAAATAAATAATACTCAAGATTAAATTTTTAAATATTTTTCTTGGTCAACATATTTTATTAAAATCTATTAACAATAAGAATATAAAAAATTAGGCAACTGTCCGCGGCGCGCGGACTTATTTACTATACAAATTTTGTTAAAATTTGATCATATCAAAATCTTTATTTGACATATTTTGTACTGTTTTATCAGATTTAGAGAGTTTTTTTCTAACATATACATGACATTCTCCATTCTCAATAGTTGAAACTAAAATATTATATATCTATAGATCATGAAATATATTGAATTATTTATTTTTCTAAATTGATTCATATAGGTATAGCTAATGTATTAACGTTATTTAACAATTGTCTACACTTATAAATAGATATATATATAACGTAATATAAAAAATATTATATTAAATGATAACCAAATGCAAAGAAAATAGAATAAAAGAAATATCAAATAAAATAGAAAGATCAAACATAACATAATATAGAAAGTTAGCATGAGAAAAAAAAATGTAGCTATAAAACGATATTATGAGGACATACCTCCATTAAATCTTGTTGCATTCAATCTAAAGAGATTAAAACTAAAACTCCATCATTATCAAACGATCTTGTTAAGGGGTCTCTTTTTGTGCTTGTTCCAACTTGCGTATCCGTCATGTTAAACTTGTTTCGAATCTTGAAAGTTTAAGAGACACATACATATTTAAATGTTATTGTATATATAAAATATTCTCAATATCATTGTCGGATTACTTACTTTCTCTTGAAAATCAGGACATCATCAGTATCAGGAGCAAAGAGGAGACGAGAAAAACCAATTGCTTCGTGAGAATGAATAGTTATTTCATCTATACACATAAAACGATCAGTAAGAACTATACATGCAAAAAAATATTTATGAAATTAATGAAGATAATAATGGCATATGTTTGATAACTCATACATTCCTTTTTCTTTACGCTCCAATCAGTTAAAACACAAACTGCAAGAGGACCAGTGAATCATTTGCTTCTTTCTTTGATATCAGCAGCAAATTCTCCGTGTGGGATACATTTCAGTTTCAAATCCCTTCGATATAAATAATAAAAGTTACAAACTTTATTACCAAGTCATAGTGATCATAAAAGAAAATATTGCTTACTCGAGATCTCTAATGGTGAAAGTTATTTTCTGAACAGTCTCTCAATCAGGATTGTCCTCGGTTACGATGTCGCTAACATCTTCCATCACACCAATTAGATCTAAAAATCAATCATGATAAATTTTTTAGTTATTGTATATAGATAAATATCATAAATGAAGTTCACATAAATGTTTTATATATATGTACAATTATAAAAACGAATACTTTAAAAGGAATATTAAAAGATAATCTTACCAACAGGGTATAACTGAGCATAAGGAACTCTGTAGATATCACTAAAAGGGATAAATTTCATGAAGGGATCTACTGTCAATGGTCGTAGTGATGATACTTTTGTCTCGGTAGTGAGAATGATCTGATAATAGTGTCTTGTGGTCCTTCCCTCGTTCTTCCACTCTGATGGTATCAAGCCGAATCTAGACAATTCAAGCCACTGTCCTTCAGGTCCAACGCGACTAAAATATGGGAGGGATAGGTCACCACATGAAGCATTGATTCTGCAACCATATATACAGTAGAATTCGAAGAGAGATCAAGCAAAAAATAAATATAAGTAACAGATTTATACGTTTATATTTGATAATACTTATATTTTTCATCGACTAAAATGAAGTTCATGCCTGGTAAGCCTTGTCCATCAGGTTTGTTCCATCTTTTCAAAACTTTGACACGGATTTTCCAATCTCGTCACCATACATGCAACTCATCAACAAAGTGATACGCAGCCATTGAGAAAGTGTTTTTAAAAAGGAAAAGAAAGGGTTTCAGATAAAGATTGCTTTGTTGTTAGTTTTTATAGAGGAAGAATATTTGCATGCATATAAATGAGGATATATATAACGTCTAGTGAACAGTTATACAGTTGTAGATATTTAAGGGAGAGAATTCGGTGAATCGATGCCTTTTACATCTTTTCATAATTTATAAATGTTTAATATTTGAAAAGTTGCAACTTCTGATAAATATTATAGAGATTTTATTGGTTATTGCGGTTTATATGTTAGTAAATGAAGTGCGGAAAGTTGTTTTAACACGAAAATATTGGGCCCATATGGTGTATATAATTTGGGTGCAACATAATTAACCGTTTATATCAAACCGATTCAGGTTTTCTATTATATTAACTGGTTAAAATTATTTTATTAAAATTTTAGACCCTTATTTTAATACTTGAAATTGAATTTAAAATTGTTAAAGACTATACCCTTTACAAATTTTGCTATAACTTGCTAAAATAAATTTGTTTTTGATATGATTTTAAACGACACATCACATTTAAAATAACACAAAACATAAAATAAAAATAGAAAAAATAAACGATATTAAATCCTTAATGAAAGAAACTATAATAAGTTTCCATTTGGAAAGAAATTAAAATATAATTCGTAAGACTTGACAGATACGCATCATATATATTTGATTAATATAAATCAAATTTATTTATAAGCTTAGTGATATGTGTCATTTTAAAAAAAAATGATTTGATACGTGTTAATTATATGCATCCTTATAAAGAACATTTAATTTTATATGACTGTTAAATAGTGAACCTAATTATTAATAGTCATCATACAACGATTGGTATTTTTGAAGGTGGAATTAGCTGGTGCCTTAATGATACACTTGTTCGTTATCATCTATAAAATGACGAAACGATAAAACTTTTTATCAAACAGAAAAAATATTTTTTAAACTCAAAACTTCACAATACGAACGTATCTGTGAACTGGATTTAACTTCGAAGAGTTCTTGCATATGCATTCAGGTTATCAAAATTATCATCAAATACATTGGTTTCAATGCATAAAAAAATGCTTCTCTTGGCAGATGAACATGTAAGTGCATAATTGCAGTACCATATATTTTAACGAAACGGTTATCTAACTTTTTTTATATATTTTGGTCAAAGGGTGATAAAATTGTAGCAACAATGCCCAGTAATTTAGTGGTTCAGTACAGTGACCGAATTTCTGAAAGGAATTGGTATTTTATTCGTAATTTTGGCGTCATACATGATCTACGTTCATCAGTTGCGGTCTTCAACAAATATCAATTGTGTTTCAACGAACATACTCGCATCCAAGAAACATCATCAGTTCTCAAAGATCATCTATATTCATTCATATCGTTCAGTGAAATATTCAACACTCCATCTACACGCTCAAGGATTGGTATGTTTCGTATTCAATTCGATTGTGTTGTTTTAGACTTATTTAGTATTTAGATCTAAACCATAGTGATAATTTAATTTTATAGTTGACTTGATCGGAAGAATTATCAAAGTTCGTAAATTAAGCAAGCATGACGGGACGAAATATGGAAGATGCCATGTTGATTCACAGATGCATCAAGTTTACTCTTAGAAGTTTTGAGTAAGTAAACATGTCAGGTTTTTCATTTTTTTTTTAAATACACAAACTTAATTTTTTGTATTAGAGAATATTAGTTAAAGTTTTTGAGTGACCATTTGTTTATGTTCATAGATGTGTTGATATCAAATGTGTAGCATTTGGCAAAAATGCTATTGATTTTGAAGCACTCTGGCTAAATATTGAGATGCGGCGCGCGGGCATAAATACTTTAGAATTTTATACAAAATAACATACTGAATTTATAGATAATTAGCTTGTTCAAATATTTATTTTTTTAAATTCATTACTCTTTATATTTTTATTGAATTATTTTGAAATTAAAAATTCTAAAAGACTTCTATAAACATTCGTTATAAATCACTTATATAAAATTTATTTTTAACCGGTGTTCAGTTGACATAATTTTATTAAATATAACATAAAACATAAAGTAAAAATAGAAAAAATAAACGGTATTAGGCCCTTAATGAAAGAAATATTAATAAGTTTTCATTTTTAGTATACTCTCTAAGCCTGAGCATCCAGAATAAGCTTCTTGAGACGGTGAACTTTAGGGAATGGAGGGTTCAACAAAACTTTATTGCATTTGAAGGGTGTTGTAATAATCCAAACATCATGTATTTGGATGACCTTCACAAACCTCAACATACAGATGATCACAGGTTTATTGGTTGATATAAATATAAGTGGTTTTTCAACTACATATATCACCTTTTAACAAAATAATAAACATTTTGAATCTATATTAATTTATTAAATTCAAAATTTAATTTGTAGATAAGATTAGAGAATATGTCTTCAATTGTTGGTCACTTCTCTGCAACATCTCCACACACCTTGGACTTGAAATATTAGAAGAAAATATTAGAATATGGGTAATATGTTGATACACAAAATAAATAATTACTAGGCTTAAAATAAGAATAATACTAGAACTACATCATTAAATAATAAACCAATTTATTGAAATTAATGAATACTAACAAAAAGTGTTGATCAAAAACTTTTTTAAGAAAATCAAAATCAAGTAATAAAAGAATCTATAGAAAAAATAACATGAAAATGCATACTATTGCCATAAAGAAACTTCTTTAGAATATGATATAGATCCGTTTATGTATAAATTTTGATCGTTAAACACACATAAAAATTTGATATATCTATATACATTTAATATTTTATGACTATTAAAAAGCTAATCTAAATCTTAATAATTCTCATACAACGATTGGTACTCTTAAAAGTAGAATTAATTGGAGTCTTAGTGATATATTTGTAAGTTATCATCTAAAAATAGTGAAATAATACAATCGGAGTCTTAGTGATATATTTGTAAGTTATCATATATAAGATCGTGTGCATTCAAGTTATTAAAGATATCATTGAAGACATTGGTTCTAGTGTCTCTCCAAGAAAGTTTCTTTTTGCTGATGAACATGTAAGTATAA